GATGGTCAGGCTTGCTGGCTTGGTTGACCCATCGGTTCCCAATTGCGCAGATCGATGCTCATGCTGTTGATCACTGGACTGTCTTGTCCAGACTCGATTACTTACAGACCGGCGCCATATAGCTGGAATATTGCTGGGTGCGGCATAAAACTAAACTCACTCACTCACTCGATCTTGGTATTGAAAAATGGAGACATCTTCATTCCTTAAAACGTATTCTTCTTATAAAACAATAACAAGAAAAGTATTTAAGTACTCATGTTGATAGAGATTTGACTGAAGCACTTGCAGAGTTTAGATGAAAATAGAAAACATACGCATTAATAAATAAATTGCTCATTCTGACTTATTATGTAAGCACTGTAATTTAAGAGCTATTGAATATGAGTTCCAATTTGTTCTTGTTTGTCCTTTCTTTAAGAAACGTCGAAAAAGACTCATACCAATTTGTTTTCGTCATTATCCAACACATCAAAAGCTTGCTCCAGTAATGTCTTGCACAAATGTAAACATCAAAGGTTTAGCCATTTACTTGAAAAGAAACATGTATGTTTGTAGTTGATCTCCCACACCAACCATACATTTATATCCATGCTATTTAATATGTATGAATTTCTTTGTATTTGTACTCTGGACTACGCGGCCTCCAATACTAAATAAAGTCTCTCTAAATTATTTACTTTTGTTCCTACTTGGAGAACAAAAAATGTGCCGTTTACCTGTTTTAATGTTTGAATTAAATACCTATTTTGAGCAAAGCGAATTCACACAGACGTAGTATATTTCGTGATCTCAAGATTCCCCCTTTTTTTAAATCCAGTTATCAAAAAAAACAAACTTTTCTTACATTAGATCTGTTTTCATCCGTTACCGTGAACGACAGATGCTCCACCAGAGAAAAGGTTCCATCTTCAATTATCAGAATTATCCTTCTTGCAACGATAGATGCAGAAGAAACTTATATTTTGTTATGACATTATAATATCCCACGCGTCAAACATTATTCGATAATTGACTGCGCGAAATTCTTTCGACTTAGGTTTGTGAAAAACAAATCTTGCACACCGTTGGAAATATTGCAGGCAAAATATACAACAAAGAAGAAGAAATTCAATTCCAGTTGATATCATATAACGGTAACCAAGTAGAAGGTGATGAAAAGTTAATTGCACGGCATATACTTTGCATAATCACGGAATTTGAATCCTAGTTAGAAAATGTATCAAGGATGGATACAATTACAAATCATTGTGATTATATTTCATTATCTGCTTATGTAGGTCTTCAATTGTTTTGTTCGGATGCATATACGTTTCTGCTGATTAAACGTATTTTAAATATTTATCGTGTCTTATGACCTAAAAACATCGCGAGTAGGCTACGCCCTCGCGTGTCACCTGCCGCGGTCAACAATGTAGATGGTGGAAGGTTTATCAAACAAATAAGTATAAACTGGATGAGTATGATAATTTCTTTACAAAGACATGAGTGAGTGAGTTAAAATTTAAAGTCACTTTGGCAATATTTCAGCCATATCGTGACTATAACAACATATATCAACACTAATTAAAGATAGAGTATAAAATCCCTGTCAACGGGACAGTAGAGAAACAACTAGAATATCACAGATATAAATGTAAAACTAGTAATTAAATCTAAAACATTTTAACCATAGAGGACAACACAATATAAAAATAGGCTATAGATCACCAGCAACTGAGGGTAGTTCGCCATACTAGGGACTACAAAGTCATGAACAGTTACCTAATCGGACTATGTAATTGATTCCAGAGAATATTGTAGCGGGATAAATGGGAATGATGGTAATAGTTTTTCGGTATCACGATGCATGTTTAGTTGTTTGTTTTATCACCGTTGCCATGATAGTTCCTTTTCATCCAGTCGGTGATGTAACATTGAGATTGCTTTTGTTTACTGCTAATGAATCCGAAAGCTGCTAATTTTCAATAGACCGGGAACTTCAGTGTGTGTTCTCTTCACCAAAGAACAAAATTACTGATCAAATTGCTAAAAAATGATTTCATTATGAAGAAAACATTTGACTGACTACCATCCGACGTGAAGTCAACAATGGCCGTTGTTTGTGCTTGTGTGGCGAGAATATCTCGACCTTTTCGTTTATTTTTTTTTCATCAGAAGGGCTAGCTATTTCAAGGTTTCAACGACGAAGGATCTTTTTAGCATAAATTCTCGTTAAGTGTAGGTTTAATCACTAACATCTGAAGGGATGGTGTAAATCCAACTACAGTCCATGAAGGTACCAAAGGTATCGAAAGTCCCCGTGGTCACTATTATGGTCATCTCCCTTTAGTTGTTGGCGACTTGTAGCCCATTTTTACATTGTATTGTTGAAGACAGAAATATTGTTTTATGGTTATATGCCAATTTTTAGTATATATAGTGATGTTCAAGTTATGGTCCAATTAATTATGTGACATAACATGTATTTTCGTGAATTATTATGTCGGTATAGCTTGTTATCAAATACTTGTCTGTTATTAGTCACTTGTATTTTCACAACACCATTTCAGTTATTTAGGTGCAATTGCTATGACTGGAAATTTTAGTCATTTCGCGAAATGTCTGACCCTCTTAGATCACTTCACAGAAATGACTGAAATCTTTAGAAATTTCACGAAATGACCCTTTTCACAATCTGACTGTAACACATATATATATGATAGACTAGTAACTTTACTGTCCTTTGCAGACAGGTAAAGTATACAAGTATGTTTTTTGTTCATTTCTACTACATTTACGAATTTACAACTTTCATAGTCACGATATGGCTGATATACTGTCGATGCGGACTTTTAAATTTTGACCCCTTACACACTCGTTTTAGGTACATAAACTACTAAAAGTCTATGGATTTAGTAAGCTAAGCATTTGTACATTCCATACATAGTTATTGGAAGTTTTGTTTGGGTTGTCATTATGCTGTTCTCCTGTCGGATGGGTCCGACAGCAGCGATGAGAGGGTTAAACGTTGAACGTTATTTTCAAACATGTAGATGCTACACTTACGCGTAGATACAGTACTGAAAGATGTATTGATAGTTTCAGTTATCTCAGCTTCATATCATATCACGGTTGGAAAAGAGGTTGACCATTGCGCATTCCATTGTTTTTCAACAAGACTGTATGTGTTTCTAATGATAATCATTGTCATGTATCCTTTATTTCAGAGAACAGTGAAGTCGGGCAGTTGCCTGGACACGATGCTACAATGAGAAGGGACCTGAATGACTCATCCACATCATCGTCCTTTGAACACTGGCAACATACAACAAGGACGTACTTGAGAAGTCTAAAAGCAGGTGACATGTTGCATGTTGATCATGGATTGCATTCTCACTGTGACTGTGACTCACACAATGTTGCTCCTCTTGGATCCATTAGAAAGTGGTCAAATGTGTGAGTGAGTTAAAATTTACAGTCACTTTGGCAATATGTCAGCCATATCGTGACTAAAACAGATCATACTTATATAAAGCATGCTCAAAATCTGCCGCAACTGGACCATGACATCACAGTTACAGACTTAAAACCAGCATGCAACCTAAAGTATACTATTAAGGACATTACAGCGTAAAAACTGGCTATAGATGACCATCAACTGAATGTAGCTCACCATACTTCCTGCATGGACCCTGACTAGATTGTCACCATCACTTCCGCCACTGGCGATTGTACTCATATCTAGTCATTATTTAAAACGGCAGGTATTCTACGATTGAAATACTTGGTAGAGCTTAATTTACTTTGAATTATACTCATATGTTGTACCTGTGAAGATCCGTGATAAATTGTGCCTTCAGTAGCCTATGAAACACTTGAATGTTGAACGTTATCTTAAACCATTTACCAGTAGATGCCATTACTAACAGACATTTTAATTAATACTGGTAGCAAAGCGTCATATCATATCATGGTGTTGGTAATGTGGCTGTATATCGGCATTCTGCGAAGACTACATAATTTTATGTATCTAATGGTAAACATTATGGACTGTTTCGTGGTAATATTTTCCTTTGGATATATTAGGTGAATTCAGGATAACAATAGCATCAGCGTTGCCAGCGTTCAAGGTTTATTCAAATGCAGATTGTACATTCAATAAACATTTCAATTCAATTCCATATATGAAGATATCAAATAATCATTCAGTATTGCAAATGACTGACATCAACATATTATTTTCATCTTCATAACTATTAAGCTTAGCAGAACAACGACATGTACTGAACATTGATTTTCGCTAAACATTTCAATATTGTCGTAACTGGCGATTGGGCTTCAGTAAACTAAGTATGGTCGTTCCACATTGTCAGTCGAGATGGTAGATCCGGCTCTCCAGTCGCTCGGTCCGTCCATGGTTGCTAAGTCAAGGAGTGAGGGTCGGTCGAACGTCACTCCTAACTAACCGCATTACATTTATGTACGGGCACACATACATTCAAGGGAAAACGCAAGACCAAGTTCTCCACTCACATAGGTTTTACTCTGTCTCAGTCCATTTCTCTCTACGTACAACTCCAACACAGGACAGGGCAGTATGGTTACCACACGGAGAACTGAGTAAAGTAGATTGGCTTCGAAATATTGAGCTAGTACTCTCGCACTCTGAGTTCTTAGCGCCCAAACGTGTCTTTTGAACGAGACGAGCCTGACCTGATTTTGACCACATATTTCAATATATCGTTTTGATACGATAATAACTGTATCTGTCACTTCACTCATGTATTGTAATTAGAGGGTCCTCGAGCAGCACCGTTCGGTGACTCCCCCTTTTCAATGATTTGTTACTTTCACCCCGCCCTTTAACTCGTCTACTTCGCTAGTGTCCTCTGACGACCTTGTCGTGTCCTTGCCTCGCTAAAGCTTAGGCCAAGTTCACGTCTCAATGTTTATCTTTCTCTTATTCCCTGACTTTCTGTCTTCATTCTGTTTTACGGAATTTCCCTTGTATTATTTAGGTAACTCGGAAGTTGTGCACTTGTCTAGAGTCGATGGTGCAGAAAGAAGTGGAGTACATGATGATAAATTACATGTAATTGTTCGCAAAGATGACTTTTGGAATGTTGTTGGAGGGAGAAAGATGCGCAGCATAAATGTAACAGGCAGGGAATCAAAGTAAGTTTTGTTGTTGATGAAAAAACACTTCCTGTCCAGGTGTAAGATGATGTAACGTGAATATAACTAACTCTGGAACAGACAAACCAGTAATGTTACTCACAACTTTACGGACCCTTAAAAACGGTCCATGTATAAATCCTGGACAATGGTTTACATTTTGTTGTTGTTGCCCTTTTCACGCACACCGTTATTGCCAAGGACCTAAATTCCAATTGGTCATATTGTTGGTTTGCTGTTTACAGTCCACTGACATCATATGCGACAGTTACAGCAATTGAAAAGAACCCACAGGAAAAAAGAGAGGTTTGTATTTGTTCAGCTGTTCATTTGCCAGGTTCACTTAGCTTCCACAAGGCTCTGTAAGTTGGAGATCAACTAATGAATGACGTTTAGGTCTGCTCAGACAAAAACATTTATCTTGCTGCTGGTCACACATACACAAGACTTATTTATTGTCGCACATGGACATCTAAATTTCTGTGTTGAAGTATAAAGCCTAACGTCAAAGAATAACAGTCTCGTCTACTGATAGCCAGGTCAGGACGCATTTGTACCTACTGGCCTTGGCGAATATTGATATAAAACGTAAAATGAGAGATGGTCAGTCTTGTCTATGATGAGAAACAGACATATTTGTTAAATGATAAAATAGTAGTAAAAATAAGATGAACCGATCACTGAAGAATTCGCCTCTAAAAGCTTTTGCACTACTCCTGTCACGCGACGACGTCTGCTTTGAATGGAAGCATTGTGCTCGCCTTTTGGCTATCGCCATAATATCCTATTTGCAAACATATCACGCAAGACGTACAAGTTCATCATTAAGATGGATTGTAGGGTAGTGGTTGACGCAATTGCCCATCTCACCGAATCCCTGGGTTTAATTCCTCATATGGGTACAATGTGTGATGCCCATTTCTGGTGTCCACTGACTGTGATACTGCTGGGATATTTCCAAAAGCGGCGAAAATAAATATTTGGAGGCACAGTTCACAAAGTGCATAGCTAAATAGTACAGAAACGTCATCCCTTGAACTACAGAAACACAACCAGAAAGAACTTGACTTCTCCAAACCAGGTGACTTGTTGGAGTTTGAGCGAGGAGTGTACAGTCACTGGGCTGTGTATATCGGTAAGTGTAGTGTAACAAAATATTATGTAAATTGTGTGTTTTTCTGCGCATTTTTATTGTTGAATGTTGTGTCAGCAATATACGTGGTATATGACAGCAGTTGTGAATAATCACAGCTGGCTCAGACAATCCAGTGATTGAAATCATGAGCATCCATCAATGGAATGGTTTTCAAAATACGTATAGAGATTCACAATAAAATACACCTGACATTTTGAGATCTGCGCAATAAAGATGCAAATCTAGTATTCCGCCACTGCATGGATATCACAAGGCATATATCCTATCTGAGTTATAATTGGTCTTCAGTAACCCATGCTTGTAGTAAGAGGCGATCGAGCCGGTGACTTGGTTGATGCATCCTCATGATGCCAATCACCGGATGATCTGGCCCAGACTCGATTGTTTAAAGAAAGGCATATAGTCGGAAAGGTACCTTTGAACAACAGAGAAACAATGAAACCATATGTCTACGATTTGTGTGTTTTAGAATCATATATGTCAATGTGTAATTATTAAATTTCTCGGACACATAAAAGTTTAAACATAGATGCCATATTGACTTGTAGATACCTTTCCTGAAAGATTAAGCATCTGTTCTTAAACGCCAAATCATATCATGGAATTTATGAAGAGGTTGTGTATTGGGCATTCGGTTATTTCTGACAAAACTGCATTACATATCTTGTAATAAATAATGTTATAATATTCTCGTGTGTTATTTAGGTAAAGAAGAAGTCGTGCACTTGTCTGGAGTCGATGGTGCAGGTGGAAGTGACCTGAAGCACCCTTGTACAATATCTGGAGTAAAGTCTGATAAAGGAATCGTTCGCAAAGACAATTTTTGGACAGTAGCTGAAGAGAGCAAAGCGAAAAAAAACAACTCAAAGGATTCGGAATTACAGTAAGTTTTGTTTGTTGTTCAATTCAGCAGTCATTTTTGCTCTAGCTGTAGGACGGTGTCACATCTAAACAATTGATTCTGGACCAGAAAAACAACAACAATAATTGATAGTGTCATTAAGTGAAAGTTACTCCCAGTAACAATCCTGGAAGAACGGTTCATTTTGAAATCCTGAACAATGGTATTTATCCAGTTTTTGGGGTCTTTCTATCGTTCCCTTTAATACCAAGGAATTGAATTCCAAAGGATCACATTGTTGTTCTGTTGTTTCCAGCCACTTGGAACCATCTAGGATAGTACAAAGAGCATTATCCGAAGTTGGAAAAGTTGGCTATAACTTGCTCTATAAGAACTGTGAACACTTTGCTAAATGGTGCCGGTATGGCAAAGAAGAAAGTGATCAGGTTTGTATTTGTCTAACTGTTCCTTTGCCAGGTTTATTTGTTTAATTAATTACGTTTAATTACGTGTAGATCTGCTCAGACAGATATTTATCTTGCCACTGGTCAAATATACAAAAGAAGTATTTACTGGTAGCAAATTCTCAAAGATATTGTTGCAAAGGGACATCTAAATTCGATATTAAAGTGTAAAACCTACACATAAATGAATAACAGTCTTGTAGGGAAGGTAGTGTAGCAAATTGTCACGTTGTATCTTGATATAAAATATCAATACCATAGATGGTCAATCTCTCTGTTGCCAAACAGATTGCCTTAAATGGTGAAATAGTGGTCAAATTAATATGAACTGATCACTGAAGAATTAAGGAACTAGAAAGAAAGCAATTGCACTTTTCCTGTCTTGCTACGACGTCTGCTTTTAAATTGTTGTATTCTGTTCGCAAATGGGTTTTCACCATACGGATCTATTTGCAAATATCTCTTTTGAGACGTACATGTTCTTCGGTTTAAATTTCACAAATGGGTACGATTACGATTTGTGTAGCACAACTCTGGTATCCTCGGGCGTGATATTGCTGGAAAATTGCTGATGTACATCGCAACTCACTCATTCTTTATTAAGAAGAGATGCCAAACGATTCACCTTGAGGTCGTAACATTACCTTTCAGAACAGCCAGCACGTTTAGAACTATTTGGTGTTCCTTACAGAAAACCGTATGGTTGAAATAGTCTTGTCTGGGATTTTGGTGAGTGAGTCTAGTTTACGCCGCACCTAGCAATATCCAGCAATATGGCGGGTCTGGGATTCTGGAAACACATTTTGAATGTAGAAAACAAACCAAACATCAATTGTTTTCCTTTCCTTTAGGCCAAGGTTCTGTGTAATGCAGTAGCTATGGTTGTTGGGAGCGCCGCTGTGGTAGTAGCAGGGGTAGCATTGACTGCCTGGTTTTCCTGAAGTGGCGGAAAGGAGGAAAGAGAAAAACGGTCCAAAAACTAACAAGTTCAATTCCCACCATAAAATGGTGAAACCAAATAAATCGGTCAAGGAAACTGTGGAGTGTTCGACGAATGCCCCATATTTGATCACAAAGCGGTTTACTGGATTCCACAACATTCCTCACCAACTTGTACCATTCCGTTACAAGCCTAATATTCATGCCTGAGTCATGCTCCTGTTCATTCAGCCTTTCGAAGCATTCCATATCAGCAGTTCCGGGACACGTCTTTGGATACTCGCGTCCCTCACAAAAGATTCCATCATGTAGTATGAACTTGTGAAGGCTGGGAAACAAGAACGCGAGCTCTTATTCCATCTCCGTCTTAAAGCAGTTTTACTATGTAAGCTCCTACAACATCTGCTTAATTTATACAACCACATTGGATGAACAATATATATTAAGAATGCTGTTTGTATTCCGAGACAGACTTTTGAGATCTAGCTACCTTTTGTTTTAATAGGCGACTTTAACGAATCGGGTGATCAAAATCGGTTCCTTTGCTTATTTCTTGCCTTCATACTCTTATGGTATAAAAAGTGTTCACAATCAATGGTTTGTCTGTCGAAGTCTCCCGACTTTCAGGTGGCCATGGCAGAACTGTGTCTTGCAGCGTTTTAAAACAAAGAAGCTTTTACAAAACTCATTGAAATGTAATGTTTTAATAATGCAAAGAAAACGTAACATCTGGTTCAGTAATGAGGGAAATATAACCCTTGTGATGGATAGAGGTTTATAATTAGCTTAAATGTTATCATTGATAAATGAAAGACAGGTGGTAAAAGTTTATTACACACACAAGATTGACTGAATTTGGTTTTACGCCGCTTTTAGAATATTCCTGCAATATCACGGCGGGGACACCAGAAATCGGCTTCACTCATTGTACCCATGTGGGGATTCGAACCCGGGTCTTCGACGTGACGAGCCAACGCTTTAACCACTAGACTACCCCACCTCCCCACACACAAGAAACTATAATGTAACCGTTAAAATAATTACTGAAGCCAAAGTCATTACTTAAAGTACCAAGGTGCAAATGTCTTTTGATTACATTGAACAATGTATTATAATGATTAGAACAATCACTACGATTGATAATTCCATAATATATTTATTTATCATACAATGGATAGCATTCTCGGCAGGATAAAGCCAACGGATAGTTTCGGTATCAGTTGGGGTCATATGCAGATATGGATGCAAATTAGAGAGGTCATATGCAAATTTTAGGGACTACGTTCACAGTGTAAACAAACATGGCGTCATGTGTGGGCGATCGTATCCGTATTGACGGCCGTGGTTACGGTACTATGAGTGCTTCGATCCAAGGAAATTCATGTCTGGCTATGATAGATGTAGTGGATTATGAAGTGAAGAAGATTGAAAATCATAGGCTTATAGAAGACACCGACACTAGATCCCCGACCGACTGTCAGTGTTAGCGAGCATACGGCACACGAATCCATGTGAAGAATGTCGCACGCGAACATTAAAGCGTATTTGTTGTTCAAGAGGTTAATTGAATGTTTCTGAAGTTCAACACAAATGTGTTGTCATTTTTTAAACATAAGCTAAGATTCCTTTGCATTATTAACACATTCTGTTTTACATTTGTAATCTGTAAATACTTTGACATAGGTTTGTCTGCTGCTCAGTTGTAAATATTGTGTCATGTAATATAGGCCTGTGGCCTTTTAAATACCAAATGCAGATTGATTAAGTGGTGTTATAACTGTACCTGACAGGAAGTGAGGTTAGGTTATTTCCTGCTTGTTTTTGTGCACCATGTACATTCTATCCTCCGAATCCTCTGGACCAGTGAAGTTGAAACTTCACATGCTTCTTCAGCAGCAATTGTTTTTAGTCAAATATGTTGAACATGTTAGAATTATATATTATAATTTGTTAGACTCTCTATGGTTGTCACAGCAACAGTTTTTGAAAAATATTTTATGACCATTACTATACCTGTTTTGTAGAAATTTTGAGAGAAGTTTTCATTTGTTTAGTTTGTGGTTCGTTTCAGTAAATATGTGTCATTTTTCAGTGTTTTGAATATAAGAAAATATTTCTTTTCAACAATTTTGTATACATCGTATGTGTGAAATAAATATGTAAACATTTTTTTGTAATGATTGTGTTCAAGTAGCATGAACAACTTAAAGGATGCTACTGATATCGTAATTTCTATATTAATATATGTATTTAACGAAACGGGAAAAATGGTGGATGTAGTAGAGTATGTGCCAAAATTGCCATCACGTAAAGGATTGTCTGGGAAACTGGCGAGTTAGTGGGATATAAGGAGCAGTGTAGTTTGCCACCTTCAGAACACATTTGACGGCTTTTGTTAACTGTACACATTTTTTAAATGTGAAGTTAACACGACATGCACATTTCCCGTTGGACGAGTGGTCGGTCACATAACGCAAAACTGACGTTCAATGATGTATCATTAAAATCATTTCCCGCTCCTTCGTTCATCACGCAACTGTATTCTTGAAATGACATAAACACTGACGGACTTCTTCCACGTTCCTGTGAATAGTGAGTGTGTGAGTTTGGTTTTACGCCGCCTTTAGCACTATTCCAGCAATATCACGACAGGGGAAACCATTTGGGGAATCGCCTGACGAGCGGACGCTTTAACCACTAGACTTCCTCTTCCGCCCCTCCTGGGAATAACCCGTAGCACGAATTAATGTAGAAGCTTTGTTTCGTTTCGACCTGGTGATCTCGACCTCGGTGTTTTGTCATGGATTGAGAGAAGCCACATAGTTGGGGAATATACTGGCTTCGAACCACGCGAGTAAACAAGAGAAGTGACATCAACATTGATAAAATTGAGGACTTGATCTTTGTGTAGATAAGTAACAGCCAAAAGCAGTCTATATATTTACCGAACATTCTGTTAAACACAAGTTTCTGATGATCATTCATTCATCATTGATAAGTAACACTTTTAATTAGCACCGGTTCCTGAACAACGTCTCTTATCTTACCTCACACATAAATGTCGTTTTCTGATTGGCTGAGCCCTCTTTTATTATTTTCAATGTACCCCGCTTACAAACGATACACGTTTTCTATGTTACAAATGTGAATGCCGAACTATGGGGATTCCTGTGGTACTTCGTGTTAGCAATCTCTTTATCTCGAATAATTGAGTCAAGTATGATGTTTAGCGAATGCAAATAGGTGGAAGGGAGGTAACTCTAAATTTTTCTTGTCGTCTGCTAGGTTCTATATGTCATCTGAAAATCTAGCGATTGTCGGTATTGGCTAATTGCTTAACCCTGGTGCACCTTATTATGATCCGGTACCCGTGCTTCAAATAGTTCAAAATTAACATTGAGGTGTTCGGTAAGATAAATATGCTGTACACAGTTCCCTCGGGGCCTATAGGTTGACACAGAGAACATATACAAACATAGAGGGTACATCAACTCATGCCCCCCCCTCGTGTCTAGGACTACAACGATTCGGTTCGATTTATCGAAAATCAAATCTGACACCTTAGTTTCGATTTTCGATAACCATTATCACTAGTTCGATTCGATATTGTAATACCTATTTAAATTATTTCCACACAGCCAGAACGTAAATTTGACTCCAATTCGAGCAGTTTCGAGCGCTGAAATAATGCGAAACGTGATTGGTTTATTATTATCCAATGAAAATTGTTGTTAGTAGATATCGCCAATTTGACGATGGATTTCACGCTAAAAAGACCAACTCTGAGAGCTAAATACAATCTGATGTTTTACCTGTATGAAGAATCGAATGGAAAATGATCGAATCGAGGGTCCAATTTCTAAAATCGAATCGAATCGACGTTAGGGTGAATCGTTGCAGTCCTACACCTGACCAGTGAACAACAACTGACAATGTTACGTTAATCGTGTCGCCCATTTCCACGTTCTGAATTTGTACATGTGTTACACTTAAATAGTGCTGAAACAAATATATGCTCATGATACAGTCACAATTGTACAACCCACTCTGATTTTAGCAGAGAACTCTTATAAATGTGGAAAGGGTTTTGTGGCTTATTTAATAGGTACTGTTTTGTGAACACCTTAGGTAGTTCATATTAGGACATATTTTCATATTGTATTACTTGAATCTATTTGTTTTAGCACAAGATATTCCTCTGTCACATGTTGAGCAGACAAATGGCCATGTAACTTCTCCCTTTGATGAACTCCCCGCGGCGTAAAACCATACTCACTCACTTTGATGAATTATTTTGTTCCGCTTTACGAATGACCGTTTTAAGTTTGTTTATGCAAGCTGACAAATTAAGTCACGCTATTTGCGTGAGTTTGGCATGGCAGACAGACAGACAGGTTTATTCAGTAAACGGCCACAGGCCCATCATACAGTCATCTGCATATGATATAGATTGTTTAGTGCACATGCTGTGTAAGAGGAACATTTCTAATGCGCTGAAGTACATGATACAGAAACATACTGACATCTCTTATGATACAATCATTATGTGTTTTCATAATGTTAATAAAATTGGCATTTGGATCCAAAATCAGTAAAATATCTCCCTTTCATGAACTCCCCGTCGTGATTTTGCTTGGACATTGCTAAAAAGCGGCGTAAAACCATACTCACTCACTTTGATGAATTATTTTGTTCCGCTTTACAGATGGCGGTTTTAAGGTTGTTTATGCAAGCTGACAAATTAAGTCACGCTATTTGCGTCAGGTTGGCATGAAGGAACTATTGTCCTATTGTCTACCTACTAGCAGAGACTTTTATAATGCGAAATAATTCGAATCGTGTAGCGGAATACAACTCCACTCTAACACTGGAAATATAGCGCGCTATATCTCAGACTGCTTGTACTTCTATATGCTGATGACACAGTTCTCCTTGCAGACTCACATGATGATTTACAAAATGCTCTCAATAATTTTACTACGTATTGTACAACATGGAAACTTAAAGTAAATACTGATAAAACTAAGATAGTGATTTTTAGTTCTGGACCTGCACATGATTACAAAAAACACTTTTATCTCAATGACCAGATAATAGAGATTACTGATTCATATAAGTATTTAGGAATATTATTACATAGAAATGGGCGTTTGAACTTTGCCATTAAACACGTTGCAGAACTCGGCTTGAAAGCATCTATATCATTGCTAAAACGAGCTAGAAATATAAAGTTACCGTTAGATACCATACTCTCTGCATTTGATTCACTGGTTTTACCAGTCTTACTGTATGGATGTGAAATATGGGGATTCGAAAATTGCGATATCATTGAACGTCTTCACCTTAAATTCCTTAAATTAGCTACCGGTATTAGATATAACACCCCGAACTTTATGGTTTATGGAGAACTTGGAAGACAACCTATTCAGCTCCAAATCTCTAAACGATTAATCACTTATTGGTGCAAATTGAAATTCTCCCATTCAAACAACAAAATAGCAGCTTTCATCTTAGATCATATCATGGACGATACTCCCTGGCTAAAGCATGTTAAACATATATTTTGTAAATGCGGCTTACCAGATGTATTTGTAAACCCCTTTCATTATACTCAATCCTGGATCATAACAAAATCTGAATCAATCCTGAAAGACCAGTTTTACAATCGTGGACCAGTGAAATAAATAATTCATCAAAAGGACAATATTATAAGATTTTTAAAAAATCTCCTTCACTCGACAAATACGTACTGCTATCAGAAAATATATGGAAACATATTCTATTTTTTAAATCATCTAACCATAAATTGCCAATAGAAAGTGGGAGATGGACAAATCTCGCAAGAAATGAAAGAGTATGTAACCTCTGTAACTCGCAGTTAACTGGGGATGAATTCCATTATATCTCTAGATGTTCATATTTTAGCCAACAACGTATTACTCTCCTAGAAAATAGTGTTTGTTCCTTCCCTAATCTCTCTACATATACAAAATTGGTGTCAAGTACTAAAATTTCAACAATCAAGCCCCTATCTAAATTTGTCAAATGTATATGTTCTAGTTTTCAGTAATTGCGTATATTCCCTGTCATCTTCTTGCATATTTTGTATATTATGCATTCCATTTTATGTACTCATGTGCCACCGGAGGTGGTTCCATCTTTTGAGTAATAAACTCTGAGTGTGTGTTACACCGCAGTTGATTTATCTAACATCCGATGCCAGGATGACATAACACAGTGTAAGAGGAAGGCCAAGTGTGAAGAGCTGCCTTAGGTAGGAGACGTCAGTGATATGAAGGAAAATGTTGGTATGTTTCGTGACTTGGCACACAATAGTTATAAAGTAGGAAAAATAAAATGTGATTCAGAAGATCTAAGTTTGTCAGTCGGTATTTGTAAGAGGCGAATAAATGTCTCGGTGGGGTGTTTGATTGTGTGTAACCCTAACCGAGGACACAGCGCTTTACCCCCTGGGTGCCAGAGGGACATATATGTCCTTTTTCTTCAACCCTCACTTTGAAGTCCAGTCAAATTCTAAATATATCACGCACACAAATACACTTCACAGTTTTGAATTCTGCAGTGGTAGTTGCACTTATATTTATACCAACGGATAGGAAATTGGATATTCTACATTTCTGTGTAATTTTATAGCCGTACACAGATCCAGGACCACGCGAGCGCAATTCTCGCACAGCGTTCACTTTTCAAACTTTATGAAATGTGCGTCTGAAAAAAAACTCGGCATCCAGGGGGTTAAGGAATCAGTCGGCTATTTGCAGCGCCCCACTCATTTCTGATAACTAGAGGGCGGTTTCAAGATAATTCCATCCATTTTAGTTCTAACACTTTGATGTATTCATCATTGTCAGATTTAGTCAGTGTGCACATAATAAACGTGGTGAAGATTTAAAAGGGACATACTACTTCTGGCGATGGTGTAAGTTCAAGGAGTGATTTTATTAACCTTTGACCTAGAGGAACTTCACCTGGTTCAAATAATGAATTTCTTTCACGAAAAAAACAGCGTAAATTGAGTTGAATTAGAACGGGAATAACTTTACTGTGTGCGACGAATTGGGGACGTATACCGGTGGTTTTATAGACTCAATTTTTTTAGTTACATCGGCGACGAGTAAATTTGCGGCTACATAACCACCGGTGTCCGTCCCCAATTCGTCAAACAGTACCGTTATCCCCTAAGTATATGGCGCTGCGCACACAAAAGTTACACAGAAAAATACGCGCGATATGAGTAGGGTACGACGCGATAAATATAGTTCAGTCTCTAATCGAGAAGTGAAATAGCGCCGACCACACTGAAAAGGGATATTTCCGTCGCGCGCAGTGAGGATTTCTCGGGAATACATGCCTGGGAAAACCCAGGTCAAGATGACACAAGACGTTGTGCAGGAGCCACGAAAGGCAGTCGGGAGGGGAGTACACCGCACAGCTCAAGGCAAGGAATGTAAGAGTTTGTATGTTTGTATAGCTCCTCTGTCACATGCGATCTGACACAGATTAATAACATGTTATTGTATATAAAGTGTATAGCGTATTTTAGGAACAAACAATTCATTTTTAAATTTGTCATATAGTTTCTGTAAGTTTGTGAATAATTGTGTGAAAGTTTGCGTTTCACTCTTGTTCGCTGGTGATTCAGTATCGGTAAGTTTGTGATTCAGTAGTGTAGGCCAGTGACTACTTATTGTGCATGTAAGTTTGTGATTTAATGTTTGTAAATTTGTAAATCACTATTAGTAAGTTTGTGACTCACTTTTTCGTGTAATTCGAACATCATACCACAACTTGAACGTGTTTATCGTTTAGGTGTATCTTGAGTGAGTGAGTTAGAGAGCTCAGTTTTACGACGCTTTTAGCAATATTCCAGCAATATCACGGCGGGGACCGTTTCTTGAGTGAGTGAGTGAGTGAGTTTAGTTTTACTACGCTTTTAGCAATGTTCCAGCAATATCACGGCGGGGACCGTTTCTTGAGTGAGTGAGGAGTGAGTGAGTTTAGTTCTACGCCGCTTTTAGCAATGTTCCAGCAATATCACGGCGGGGACCGTTTCTTGAGTGAGTGAGGGAGTGAGTGAGTTTAGTTCTACGCCGCTTTTAGCAATGTTCCAGCAATATCACGGCGGGGGTACCGTTTCCAAAAATAACGTTCTGTAAAAGTTCCTGTTACTGATTTCGTGTGTGTGTCTGTGTCTGTTTGTGTGCTTTGTGCTTCAGTATTTGTAATCTTGTGATTCCATGTTTGTAAGTTTGTGATTCCATGTTTGCAAGTTTGTGATTCCATGTTTGCAAGTTTGTGATTCCATGTTTGTAAGTTTGTGATTCCATGTTTGCAAGTTTGTGGTTCCATGTTTGTAAGTTTGTGATTCAGTATTCGTAAGCTTAATATTCTGTACAAGTAAATTTGCGATTCACTTCTTCGTGTAATTTGAACAGTGTGCCCCAGCTGGAAGTTGTCGAAACATGTACAAGGTATATCGGGAATTACATTACAAGCAATGTATTTTTGTTTTCAATACACTCGGTAATTCCGGATTTGACTTGGTTCTGTAAATACACCATGGACGGACTAGGACACGATATCTGTGATCGTTGTTGAAATGTCTGACAACACGACATGTAGAACATGTAGTTACTCAACACATTAACCTGTTAGTATACTGACTGACTGACTGACTGACTGACTGAGTTTGGTTTTACGCCGCTTTTAGCAACATTCCAGCAACATCACGGCGGGGGACACCAGAATGGGCTTCACACATTGTGCCTATGTGGGGATTCGAACCCGGGTCTTCGGCGTGACGAGCCAACGCTTTAACCACTAGGCTACCACACCGCCCCTGTTAGTATACACAAGTATACGCCACTAACGCGTCTATTCGTTATACAATATGAATGACACTGACGCACGATTTTATACACTACAACCTCTAGACCAAGACTTAAAGTTAGATTCAAACCCTAGAACATTTCTTTTAAGCGCAAATCATTTTATGTAATCACTATGGTGCTTGTTTGACCCTGTGCATCTGATGAGATTCGTCCTCAGTAACTTGATTTTTTTTTAATCAACCAGATAGATCTCACTCGATGGTTTGGAGATTGCGAATACCGTAAACTACGTTTGTAACGAACTATTTCTTCCCGGCCACTTACTGTATATGTTTGTCGAAAATCGTATGACCAAACGGTTGTAACGATTGTAACATCAGTAGCTGACTATGTATCTGTTAAATATGTTATCACAAAATGGTTTCTTTGGCCGCCGGGAAATGTCTTTAGGATTAAATATAGTCGACCGATACTCATAAACACGCTATGCCAATGACATTTAATGTCACTAATTTTAAACAATGCATCAAAATAGTTCATTTTACCTTTTGGTTTACAGCGTGACATCTCCACGGGATACTTGATCACCGATCACTACCATGGCAACGATGGCAACGACCCAAGAGCACAACGACGCCGTGTTGTCCAGCTTGGAGCCCGGTGACCAGGTGGAATTTGGGAGAGTGTTGTATTCTCACTGGGGCGTGTACATTGGTAGGCAAATATTCACTGGTTCTCTTTGACAATTTGAAATAAAATAAATGAGAGATTCGTATTTCCTTTATTGTCCCCTTTATATGAACTACAATGAATGGTCTCGGTCCACCTTTGGTTAGTACTGTACAATATTCCAACGTAATTTAGGTAATCACCCAGTAACACTGAAAAACAAAAAGCAATTCTTTCCCATCTACTACACATCGCCAAGTAACATCTATTGATCAGAACTAATGCATCCCATCTGCTATACACTGTAATATCTCATTAATATTCACTGATCAGAATCCATTCGTTCCCATCTGCTATACATTGCAATCGTCCATTAACATCGATTGATCAGAATTAATGCATCCCATCTGCTATTAACTGTAATTTCATTAATATTCACTGATCAGAATCCATTCGTACCCAACTGCTACAAATTGCAACCGTCCATTAACATCTATTGATCAGAATTAATGCATCCCATCTGCTATACACTGTAATATCTCATTAATATTCACTGATCAGAATCCATTCGTTCCCATCTGCTATACATTGCAATCGTCCATTAACATCTATTGATCAGAACTAATGCATCCCATCTGCTATACATTGTAATATCTCATTAATATTCACTGATCAGAATCCATTCGTTCCCATCTGCTATACATTGCAATCGTCCATTAACATCTGATGATCAGAATTAATGCTTCCCATCTGCTTGAAACTATAATCCCTAAGTAATATACACTGATCAATATCCATTCATTTCCATCTATTATACATTGCAATCGCCCATTAACATATATTGATCGAAATCAGTTCCCCTCATCTGCCATACAGTGTAATCAGTAGGTAACACTATAAGAATTCCGTCCAGTGTTGAATGAGACAAACATGTAATAAGTTGGAACATTATGTCCACAGGTGATGGTTACGTGATTCACCTGGCCAGTCTCGATGGTGAGAGCTTTAGAAAGACTGAAAAAGCCGTTGTACGTAGAGACAAAATCCAGGATGTTGCTAAGAAATGCAAGATGAACAAAAACAACTCAAAAGGCCGGAGATACAGACTAAAGTAAGAAACAAATGAAAGAATGAAGTACTTGTGGAAGAAACTAGACCCCATATGTAATCCTCTCACTGTAGTCAGAGTTGAGAACATAAGATACCGTTTCTGTCAAGGGGTGGTGCTGAGAATCTGCTTAGGACTGCCTGCTTTATTGAGGCATCTTTCAAATTTGAATATATTTACGCTTTGTTGATAACCTTAGTAGTATGAGCAATAATACACAGTTCTACTCTTTTTGGTTTGGGAAAGGGATGTTGAAGATTTGAGAGCTGGCTTCTGGTTGTAGGTTTTGTTCTCTTTAAACCATCTACGGAGTGAAAAATCATGGACGTCAATAGATTCTTTAACATGAAACTATATTATACACAAGAGTTACCCTGGACATGTTAACTCTTGTAAGAACTAAAGTTTGTTCTGTTTGCTATAGACTAAAGTTTGTTCTGTTTGCTATAGACTAAAGTTTATTCTGTTTGCTAAGACTAAAGTATATTCTGTTTGTTACAGGCTAAAGTTTGTTCTGTTTGTTTCAGACTAATGTTTGTTCTGTTTGTTTCAGACTAATGTTTGTTCTGTTGTTATATACTAAAGTTTGCTCTGTTTGGTATAAACTAAAGTTTGTTCTGTTTGGTATAAACTAAAGTGTGTTCTGTTTGGTAGAGACTAACGTTTGTTCTGTTTGTTACAGACTAAAGTTTGTTCTGTTTGTCGCAGACTAAAGTTTGTTCTGTTTGTCACAGACTAAAGTTTGCTCTGTTTGTTTTAGACTAAAGTTTGCTCTGTTTGTTACACACTGAAGTTTGGTCTCTTTGATTTAGACAAATAGAGTGTTTGTTATAGACTAAAGTTTGTTCTGTTTGTTTTAGACTAATAGACTGTTTGTTATAGACTGAAGTTTGTTCTGTTTGTTTTAGACTAAAAGACTGTTTGCTATAGACTAAAGTTTGTTCTGTTTGTCACAGACTAAAGTTTGTTCTGTTTGGTATAGACTAAAGTTTGTTCTTTTTGTCACAGGCTAAAGTTTGTTCTGTTTGGTATAGACTAAAGTTTGTTTTTGTTTGTTTTAGACTAAAGTTTGTTCTGTTTGTTATAGTCTAAAGTGTGTTGTGTTTGCCACAGACTGTTCTGTTTGGTATAGAGTAAAGTTTGTTCTGTTTGGTATAGAGTAAAGTTTGTTTTGTTTGTTTTAGACTAATGTTTGTTCTGTTTGTTATAGGCTAAATTTGTTCTGTTTGGTATGGACTAAAGTTTTTTCTGTTTGTTTTAGTCTAAGGTTTGTTCTGTTTGTCACAGACTAAAGTTTTTTGCTCTGTTTGGTATAGAGGAAATTTTGTTCTGTTTGGTATACACGAAAGTTTGTTCTGTTTGTTATAGTCTAAGGTTTGTTCTGTTTGTCACAGACTAAAGTTTTTTTGCTCTGTTTGGTATAGAGGAAATTAGACTAAGGTTTGTCCTGCTAATACATGTTATCCACTTTGCAGAACCTTCAGCAAATCGGAGATCGTGGAGAGAGCCAAGAGCCAGCTTGGCAGAAGGGATATAACATGCTTGCCAGCAACTGTGAACACTTCGTGTCGTGGTGCTGCTATGACATTGAAAATAAGTGACCAGGTGGGAATCGTTTCATTCGTTTCCAAAGTAGATGTGACATGTGTTCTGTTCAGTATGATTCTGTAAAAGGCACACCGACGGTGATGGGGTCCAACGACAATGCATTCACCCTCTCTTAACAATGACATATGTGTGTAAATATCACGTGTCAAGCTCATATATATTTCACCCATTTATTTCAGCCAAACATATGGAATATGGTACATGTTTTTGAAGTATATCTTTTTTATCACAGCAGAAACAGTATATGTTCACAAGGCGACATAACCATACAACCTGTAAATAAAACACTTGCAAATATGAAACGTAGCCACCAAGATGTAAATGAGTAAAATGTTAGTAAATGATTATGTTCCAAAACGATTTCCACTTCAGTTTTAATGCGTGACCAATATCAAACTGCTGAGGCACCAACATGGGTTCTCATTAAAACGTTCCCACAGAAAAATGTAAAGTTATAACAAAAGCTACAAACATCCCTGTAGGTGAACACAATTACAATTGGTATCTAGATGTAAACTGACGTACAAGAGAAAGTGCACACCTGATGCTTTGGTAAAATGGGGGTTTTGCTATAACAACGTAATATTTAGAACAGTGTTTTGATTGTGATTGCAATAACACCATAGATGTGTGTACTTTCTTTTGTACATCAATATATATTCCTTTTGGTTCGGAAAGGTGAGTTCATGGTAAAGGTACATTTTTTGTCTTTGTAGGTGAACGATGGCATAGAACTGACGACGAGGGCGGCTGAAATGTTCTTCGATTGGTTACTGGAAAAGACTAAATGAGAAGAACTTGGAAAGGTCTAAGTCTTGAGAAAGATTCTTTACAGAATCCGGGCAGCTGTAGTTACCACTGGTGTAGATATGATACTACACCGAGTTCGATTCCGTAGATTAACAAACACCTTTTTGTAGCGGGATGACATTTGTAATTGGATGATTTAGTGTAAGCTTGTTGTGTAAGATGTACACCAAGTAATTGAAACTGACCATATTTTTCAATATTTAGTGTACTATTCGCACAATAACATCTGCTGAATGTTTGCAGAGATATTTTCAAGTAGGTGACTTTTGGTGCGGCACTGGGGTTGGTATGTGCAACTTTCGGTACTCTTTTATTGTGGCTGAAAGGCCATACTGTGCATACACATACACTTCAAGACTATTGACGAACTGGTTATTGTCAAGACAATATTTAGTTGCTATTGAAGTCCATGGGAAAACATTTGGTGTTTTTTTAACCTGTAACAGACAACGAATAAATAACTTCTCTGTTTCATAGTACCTACTTATATTTTCCAGTACTTTTGCGAGATGTATAATTTTTTCCACTAGGTGTGTCATGTAATCTAAACGGTACATTAGTAGCTGAAAGTTGCATATCGTCACAGTCAGTATTATTCAGTATATAGTTTTGCATTTTCAAATTGAAACAATGTTTTTCACATCAATCAAATATACACTTGTATAGCGCTTGTATGCAGCAATTTGTTGAAGCTAAAACGCTCTTTGATTCATGGAGACTGTATAGTCCTTACAGGGGCGGTGGGGTACCCCAGTGGTTAAAGCTTTGGCTCGTCACGCCGAAGACACGGGTTCGATTCTACATGGGCACAATGTGTTAAGCCCATTTCTGGTGTCCCCGCCGTGATATTGCTGGAATATTACTAAAAGCGGCGTAAAACTAAACTCAGTCAGTCAGTCCAGTATAGTCCTTGCAGATTTTGCTGAACCAATCGGTTCCCAGCGAAGATTTCAAAGTGCTTTCTGTTGGTGGGACATTGTTACACCGACCTGGACAAGATGTTTATGGCTAATCTCCAAATGTTTGTTTACAGGATTTAGATGTTTGAAGACATTTCTAATCTCGTTATCGTCGTGACAGTATAGGCCTGCAGAGGATCAGCAAGATAAACCGGAGCCAATGAGCGAGTGAGTTCAGGTTTACGCTGCACTCAGCAGCATTCCAGCTCTATGGCAGCAGTCTGCATCAACACATTCTTGTTGTAAGATGTGTGGTCAGTGTTTGCAATACTTTAATTTGCCAGATGTCCATCAGGGCCCTAAAATCTACAGGCCCTGAATGAAATCTGCAGGCCCATTTTGTTAAAGTCAAACCAATAAAAACAAAAAAACAGACTGTACACAGTTTCACATTGTTTCTACAAAATCAATTAGCAAAGCCTGTGGCGCAGCGAGACGTATTTATTTGTTAAAGACTGGTGTTGACATCCCTATGCGCAAAGCGCTAAACTACCAGGAAATGAAACTGTAAGTAATCGTAACATGATGGATCACGGATGATTCCCGGACGTTATTAAAGAAAAAAACAATAAGAGAAAGATTCCGGTTGAAAAAAAGACAGATAATTTACTGAAGGCCACAAGGACATACAAATATTCGAAACTGCCGGCCCGATACAATAACAACCGGCACTGGGCCTCCGGGCCGGCGATTATTTCGAACTCTGTTTGTGGTCCGAGTCGCTAATTTTGTTGAAGCATGTCATCATATCCAAAATGTGCAAGCTGATCTGATGATCCCGATCACTGGATTGTCTGGGCCAAGGCTCAATGTTTGTTATAGAACGCCTTTACAGAGCTGGACAGGTAAAACAACAAACAAAACATATACGCCATAAGATATATTTTACGTTCGCATCCTAAACTTCATAGGACTTTGTAGAAATATGTTTTGCGATTTTTCTGTCGCCTTTATTCAACCCTGATTGGAATAACTTCCATCGGGTTCCTTGCTGAAAGGTGTTCAGTATTACACGTGACCGGCTTAAGTCATGTTCTTTCTTACGCGCATTGCCATCAAATTTGCTGCGTACGACTAAACTATACTACAAACACAAAGTACGGAGCATCCTAAAATTTGATAGTCATATATAAACTAAAACGTGGTATGGTAATTTGTACTCTGAGGTAAATGCAACTTTTTGTGTGTTTAATGGGCACTTTAAACGACGTGTTAGAACTTCACAACTATACAATCAACTCTTCAAATTAAACGGCATTTGAAAAAGACATTAATGAAGTTCATGAGTTACGTCCCTTGGGGTCAGCAGGAACCTGTAAATCAGGTGTCGTATGCGACCTGCATTACTCCACGTTTCCTTCTACATTCAACCGTCCTGGTTGTTCTCTCACTCACGATCATCCATTTGTTTTATACAGAGACTACGCTACTGCTTCACTTTTAGGTTTAAGCACGTTTTAGTAATTCCTCCAGGTACTTCTTTCATCGAAAGGGGCGGTGGGGTAGCATAGTGGTTAAACCGTCCGCTCGTCAAGCTGAATTCCACGGTTCGATTCCCCACGTGGGTACAATGTGTGAAGCCCAATTCCGGTGTCCCCCGCCGTGATATTCCTAGAATATTGCTATAAGCGGCGTAAAAACATACTCACTCACTCACTCACTCACTCTTTCATCGAAACTTTATTGCATACTTTCAGCACACTTCTCCCAACTAGTGTTGGGAATAACCCTTTGTTCCCTCTCACTGGTGTTCATCCAACTGACTGACTGACTGACTGAGTTTAGTTTTACGCCGCTTTTAGCAATATTCCAGCAATATCACGGCGGGGGACACCAGAAATGGGCTTAACACATTGTGCCCATGTGGGGAATCGAACCCGGGCCTTCGGCGTGACGAGCCAACGCTTTAACCACTAGGCTACCCCACCGCCCCGGTGTTCATCCAAAACGTCGCACATGAATTATATATTTCACCAAAAAACTTTGAAGCACTGTATCACTTTCTGCACGGTTGCTTCTGAGGACGTAGCAACCCGTGCTTGTCGTAAAGGCGACTAACGGGATCGGGTGGTCAGGCTCGCTGACCTGGCTGACACATGTCATCGTATCCCAATTGCTCATGCTGTTGATCACTGGATTGTCTTTATGCAGGCTCTATTATTTACAGACCGCCGCCATATAGCTGAGATATCAATCAATCAATTTGACCAGTCTAAGTACTAGTAGTCGCAGGGGATATCGCCACCTACCTCGGAACCTGGATATGCATGAATGTGGTAAAAAAACAACATGGAAACAGTTAGTTCGCATTAATCTTCCAATCAATTAAACATGTAGTTATTGTAAAACATGTAAAATCAAATCATGAAATTAAACGGTTTTTAAGAACAGAAGTAAAATGTAACCAAATTGGCATACACACCTTCCTAATGTTCTTCATGATCGGCCCGCGTTGGCCCAGTCTTCTCAGTAGAAGCAATTTCCTCTGCAGAGTTGTGTCCCTTGAGCTTAACAGAAGCATATGGTTGTGGGTTCGTCCGCGGCCTTCATAACTTCTCGTTTTGCTGATAAAGTAACCTGTCGTGAAGTGAAATGACACTTTTCAATCGGCGTTAAAAAATTATCTCACGTCATGGAACGTGTGTATATTGCTCCACTGCCAACGCACATTGTAATCCTATCATGTTAGATCTCAGCGAGCATACTATGTCCTCCTGTGGTGGGAGAGACGATGGGTTAGCCTAGTGGTTAAAGCGGTCACTCACCGATCCGAAATCCCAGGTTCGATTCCCCACATGGGTACACTGTGTGAAGCCCATTTCTGGTGTCCCCCGCCGTGATATTGCTGGAATATTGCTAAAAGCGGCGTAAATCTAAACTCACTCACTCCAATGGTGCTAATTTGCTGGGATCGGACCATATTCTGTGGTGTCTGAAGTTACCAAAGTGCATTCCATTCAATGCGCTGGCGTTTTTGCTTGCAATTGACCATGCAACATGGTGACAGCTGTTTACTAATGACCAGCGGATGTCTCTAGCAGACCATGCATTTTCAATTTCAAAAGAAAAAGAGAGAGTGAAAAAACATGTTTAGATTAAATCAATGTAATTTCAATATTTATAATAAATACATATGCAGGAATTATAAACCTAACATCAACATTTCAAATTCTATCGATGTTAATGAATTTTCTGAAATTGTTTTGTATTTCAACATTTTAGGTAACCCGAGTCTGACCGCCTGCCCTGTCCATGTTACGGTAGAATTCTGACCGCGAACGCCACAGGGTGTATAGTGAGCTACGGTTATAACGAATTCGAAAGGTGTTGTTGCAACAGTTCTTCGTTATACGCATTTTAGTAGCCCGAGTCTGACCACATGACCAATATTTCTTACAGGTAGATCTACACCGGAATACCGCATGCCGTACAGTGAAGTACGGCTGTAACGAATACAACAGGCCCTCTAAGTTTGGTTCGTTATAACAGTACTTCCTTACGCGCATTTCGGTAGCCCGAGTCTGACCACATGACCCATATTTCTTACGGGTATATCTACCCCTGAATACCACATGCCGTACCTGAACTGCGGTTATGACGAATACAAAACGCCCACTAATTTTGGTTCGTTACAACAGTACATCGTTTTACGCATTATGGTAGCCCGAGTCTGACCACCTGGCCAGTCCTTCTTACGGGTATATCTAACCGAGAATGACATTAAGAAACTACGGTTATAACGAACTAAAATGCCACCAATTGTAGTTCGTTATAACAGTACCTCCTACACACATTTCGACTAAAACAGACAGACAGTGACAATGACCCAAGCACATGATATGAGTCAGTTCGTTATAACCGTGTTCGTCATAACCGTAGTTTACTGGGTGTCGAGACGTGGCTAAGCCTATCAACCGTTGAACAAACTCTTCGTTGGTACAGTAGCTGATAAGCCCCATGTCTAGCTGGGATGACATTCGTCACGTTAACGCCCCAGCTACCTCACATACAGGTCAAGAGACCCATTCTGCTTGTCGTTGTCTCGACAAGTAGACACATTCTAACAACAGCGTTAAGAGGGACGACCCATATAGCGGTCGCCCACTGCACAGGGAGGTAGGAGGGAGGTCACACGGAGGGCTGGACCTTGGCAAGGTAGACATGACCACCTGTGAAAAGTCTGACCCTGACCGTGATAATCATGTCGATGTGAAAGTCACCTTAAGGTGAGTAGGTTTATGTTTAGTTGCGATGTGCAAGCATATCAAAGCCAGTTACATATCTCCTTGTATAAACTGTTCGTTGTACAGGTGTTCCTGCTTAGGAAGGCCTCTTTGTTTACACACTTAAAAGTGCCGTGCAGCGTTCAAGGAGGGCTGTAGAGTCACGGTTGACCTGTATGTGACATATATGTATTCACTTACCCCACAGTGGGTCTGTGTTGAAGCGGTGTCGTCTCGGGACGCCGACCTTTCGTTTTTTTCACTAGTCTGTTGGATACATGATTGAATTGTGATTGTTGCCTCTGCAGTACATTGTCGTTTTACAATGCGGACAGGTTTGTGCATGTGTGGTTGATTTTATCATTCTTGATATGATAACCACATGTTTGGCAGAATGGAACCCTGGTTATGCAGACAGTATTGTTACCTGTGAAGTCTTAATTCACACTTTCGGATGCACATTCACATAGAAACTTTACTAACTTTCTTGCCTCCACCTGTTCTACAGGTCATTTTGCTGGTATATGTGGGAGGAGTAAGTAAGTAGGTATGTGAATGAATGAATGAATGAGTGAGTGAGGTGGGTGAGTCAGTCATGAGAGTCAATGGTCGGTTGAGTGAGACAGTAAGTCAGTGAGAGCAAGAGACAGATTCAGTGAGTGAGTGGGTGAGTGAGTGAGTGAGACAGTGAGTTGTGAGTCAGCAAGAGCGATAGACAGATTCAGTGAGTCAGTGAGAGCACTGCCACGACTGGCTTCACATAGTGCACCCCCATGTGGAATCAAACCCAGCTCCTCTGAGTCACCACCTTAACAATAACCAACGGGTAACCCAGTGGACCCTTCTTATATAATACCATCTCTAACGGACCACTGTTACAACACTGGAGGGAGGGCTGGGACGTTTGTTAGAGACTGTGTATATTTTCGGTTCTTAATGCAAGACTAACAATATTTTTACGAAAGAAGTGGGCGCACGGAAAAATAACCCTCAGTCACTCATTCTCTTGCAGACTTCTTGAAAGATGAGGACCTCGAAGCTGATCCTATCCATTGCAGCGATGGTTTCGGCGATTCCTTGTTTACTTCTGTATATATACAGTAAGTAACGCTGTCAATGTCAGTTGCTCTGTAACGGAAACATCAGTAATTTTCTGTCAAGGATTGCGTATCTTAGTTGTTCCAGGATCCACTGAAAATAGGTTCGACTCAATATTCCAGCTGTATGGCAACAGTCTGTAAATAGCCAAATCTAGACCAGACAATCCAGTGTTGAACATCGTATTTCCTTAATATTATCGTCAACCAAGGTCGTATGTCATACCTGTTTCAGATCCTGACCCAAGTCCAAGAAGTATGGATTTCACCAACAAGGTAACATAAAATAAAACAAAGTTTATTTATACTTTATTTTGCTTTGCATATGAAGCGTCTCATGTGATATAAAATTCCCATTTGATGTTATCTAGCGGGTAGATGAAGGCGTACCGAAAAATGTAAAATACCACCAAGAATAATTTATTCTGCAGTAATGCATTCGATACGGATATCACAATAGTGATTTCAACATTCAGACTGCAGTATTCCGCAACTGTTTTCAGCCAAGTAAAAGATTTTACTATCTTTTTTTGTTCATTCCATTTATCACGTGTGTACATTCTTTCACCCGAGAAAACATTTTTAAGGAATATATTGTAGCATTCCTGCATACCTACTCCAAGGGGAAAATATTTTGTGTCCATTTTCCCATGTTTCCAATATCATTCGACGTAAGCTAACAGGTTGGTCACATTTATGATATTTGTAATTGACGTCACTGTAGTCCAACTGCTTGAAATGTTATTCACATCAGTAATGAAGTTGTGAGGGAAGGGAATCATGACGTTTTATTATACTTGCTGAAGCCGAAAAAATGTAAAATATGATATAATAAAATAATATGTTATTATTCATTGATCATAGGCATGGGTGGTTCGAGTACCCTATAAAAGTGGGACAGGTGTGGACGGAGGCTAAATTTGTTAACATTAAGTAATCTCATTGTGACTTATTCCCTGTTCAGAAAAAATGACGTTGAAATGAATTCTCCATAGTCCAACGATGTAGAGATCTGAGGAAATATGACATGTACAAATCCTTTCCTAAACGGTGAATATCCCTTTCGTTATGAAGGATCACATTCCATGCCCACTGAAATGCTTGTGGTCAAATGATTGCTTTCATTTTTTGTGGGTAATGTATACGCCAACGCAGTACTTCACAAATATTCAGAAAAAATGAACTACCCGTTTCCATCCTGTTGATTATGTGTACTTTGAATCAATGGGTCAATTGGAAAATACGGAACCCCTGACGTCATTGTGAAGAGAAAGTGTTGCGAAAGATTAATCTAGGAGTGAGTGAGAAGGAAAATACAGTTTTAGATTGAGAACATGCTTGCTTAAACTATGCACTTCAAGGAAGCATTCCAGTCAGTCAGTGAATGATTGGGTGAGCGAAGAATGTTTCATGTAGCACGTGGCAATACTATATATCTAACTACATGCCAAGACCTGATAAATAATCGAATTAGCATATGTATTATTATATTTACTTGATTCTAGCTGATGACGCTGATAATCAGCCTCATCACTAACCTAGGGCGGTGGGGTAGCCTAGTGGTTAAAGCGTTCATTCGCCACGCTGAAGACCCGGGTTCGATTCCCCACATGGGTACAATATGTGAAGCCCATTTCCGGTGCCCCCTGCCGCGATATTGTCGGAATATTGCTAAAAGCGGCGTAAAACCCAACTCACTCCACCGTATACGTTGGATCATATTTTACGACCAACGTAGGGTCCTGGGGATCCATTCCAACCCTAAATCCCCACAGGGATATATAATCTTTTCATATGACCCGTCACTAACCTGGGGCGGTGGGGTAGCCTAGTGGCTGAAGACCCGGGTTCGATTCCCCACATGGGTACAATATGTGAAGCCCTATTTCTGGTGGCCTCCGCCGTGATATTGCTGGAATATTGCTAAAAGTGGCGTAAAAACATACTCACTCACTCACTCACTCATCACAAGCAAAACCCTTAACCTTGTTCCGAATGGGTACTCATTATTGAAGGTTTACTTTACCGATCTATTTTAGCTCGGACGTGTGAATCTGATGTCTGTACGTTTTGACTTCATACCATTTCTCTGATAATCCACATCTTCCCCAGGAATCAACGTATCCACTTCCTCCAGCCATGAAAGAGCAACAGAGAACCAGACATGAGCTAATCGCCAAGCACTGTCAGTCCGACCCTTCTGGAACGGCAACAAGTGTCGTGATAGACCCAAGATCAATGGTGTCCTTCTGCCAGAGCCACAAGATCGCTTCAACATTTTGGCTGCGGGTGTTCCATTTCCTCAGGTATTACAACCCAGGATACAACATCACCCGCTTCAACCCATTCACCGTAAGCAAATACGATGTTCACTTCAGCCAAAGAAAACTCAAGTTATATAATCTAAATGACGACAGAAACTTGATCTTCAAGACAACGCGGTTCATGTTCGCTAGAGAACCATATACAAGACTCTGGTCTCTGTTTCTAGACAAATTTGTTGTCCTTGATAAATATTTCCTGAAGACCTTCGGAGCCATGATTCTTAGAAGAAAAGGACACCATATGAAGAATCCATACGATTTTTGTCACAAGGATTACAGCAATGTGTCATTTCAGGATTTCTTGGATCTGATTGTGCATTGGGACAACGAAACTCATGGTGAAATGGATGACCATTTTGGAACCGTTATGCATCACTGCAGTCCATGCCGGTTTAAACCTGATTTTGTTGGTAAATTGGAAACGTTTGATCCAGACAGTAAATATATACTTCAGCTCCTTGGTCTAAGTGACTTTGTTCAAGTTCTGGAGCATGCAGACCATGTGCTTGAGGAGATGCACATGCTTATAGATTATAATTATTTACTCTTTGAACGAGACTTTAAGTCATGCTTTGTCCACTGTGTGAAAAAGACTTTAGACGCTTTTCAGATGAATGGATACCTGACCAGTTCATCCGTAGAGAGGTTAAAGTCCAAACTACCTCTACCAAAACTGATATTCACAAGAGATGTAACAAATGAGTATCGACGAAGCAAAACGAACATTTAGTCAGATGGCGAAAACCAAACGTAAATGGAAAATACATGCATTTGGGACAATAAGAAGAGATACACTTATGGCAATAGAGCAAATTTATGAAAGGGAGTTGGTAACATTTGGATACGACCTTTACCCAAAGGATGTCTTTCAGTGGATGTTCAAACACTGACAACATCTATGTTTGTTGATTAGCCATATGAAAAAACTTCCTGTTTTTCTTACCCGTGAAGATCCAGGTTAGAATTGTGGTCTTCAGGAACCCATGCTTGTCGTAAGAGGTAAGTAACAGGATCGGGTGGTCAGGCTCGCTGACTTGTTTAACACAAGTTATCGTATCCCAGTTGCGTAGATCGATGCTCATGATGCTGATCACTGGATCGTCTGGTCCAGACTCGATTATGTACAGACCGCCGCCATATAGCTGAGTGCGGCGTAAAACTAAACTCACTCACTCATGATGCTTCTGAGCAACATTATGATGATTTTGTGGTTACCAAGTGTGACGTCACGGAAGCGATGGTTGTACATGGAAAACATGCATGCGCTCACCATGCTCCACACATTCTCAGAGATACAATGATATAACTGTCTGTGACGTAAGCAGCAAACACTCATTCATGTCCTTTATTTATCCAGCAGGCTCCTTACATCAAGCAATTGTACCTCTAACTTGATCTTTCCATATAAACGTCGACAAGTCGCTACGATCGCTTAGTGGTACGGACCCCTGTCTTTAGTAAATCGTAATATGACAATTTTGTTTGTATATGAGACTCGCCAATGTTCACATGTATTACCTGCGAGGCTGTACAGTTCCTTTCATGTGTCGCATTCAATGTGAAGAGAATGATCGTTTGCGAAGATAATCATGAATTATGTTCTTTCAATATAAGTTGGTTTAGAGAATTAAATTAGAATAAAATTAGATATTATATTTTTATTGCATGGCTGAAATATACACCGGTATTTCGTCCAGTGAAGATGCCAGTCTTCAGAAACCAATGCTTGCCAGATGAAAAACGAAATGTACAGAGCATCGAAAAGCCATTCTTGAGAACAAAGGTGTATATTCCAACCAGGTAACTCCGCGGAAAGATCGAAGCAGTGTCGTGACACCTAACGCCCCCTGTCGAAGACAAACAGGTTGTTCCCCTTTCACCAAGTTGCCACTTCGCACTCATTATCTCCGATTTTCTTTTGGCTCTGAAAGGTTATTTTGATTGAATGACTGAGTGTTGTTTTACGCCGCACTCAGCAATATTACAGTTATATGGCGGCGGTCTGTAAATAATCTAGTATAGAACAGACAATTCAGTGATCGATGGCATGAGCATCGATCTACACAATTGGGATACAACTTCATCCCGTCAGTCGCCCTTTACGACGAGCATGGTTTGCTGAAGACAAATTCTAACCTTTGGTCTTCACAGATCGGCTCTGAAAGGAGGAAAACGTTAAGAATCATGGTTAAATGAATCAGTATACCATTTCTTAGATCACCGATTTATACATGCCTCAGTTGGTCAGAACGGGTTGAACTGAAACTAGTCAAACCGTTCGTCAACACTGATTTAAAAATACTGGGACTACTTTGGCAGGAATCAATATTGAAATAAGCTGCATGGGTAGCCTAGTGGTTAAAGCGTTGGCTCGTCACGACGAAGGCCCGTGGTTCCATTCCTCACATTGGTACAATGTGTGAAGCCCATTTCAGGTGTCCCCCACCGTGATATTGCTGTAATATTGTTAAAAGCGGCATAAAACCCAACTCAGTCACTCACTCATGGACGTATTTGTTGCAGTTACACACCCATCCGACTGAGGCAATTTAGGTCACGTAAGCGCCTTTGATTGAAATCTTGATGTCCAACAATGTCATTTCATTCTAAAGTTCCTATCCCTACGATGATAGGCATACGGCGTGTATGTCAAAGTATAAATTCACCGACTATTGTCCATTAGCTAAGCAATATCGATGAAATGGTCGGTTTATTGAGGTAGAAACATAATGGACGGAATTGGCCGCGATTAGTTCAAAGGCTGTTTCAAACAGGGGCGACGGGGTAGCCTAATGGTTAAAGAGTTCGTCACACCGAAGACCCGGGTTCGATTGCCCGCATGGATAGAATGTGTGAAGCCCTTTTCTGGTGTCCCCCGCCGTTATATTGCTGGAATTTTGATAAAAGCGACGTAAAACTAAACTCACTCAACTCACTGTTTCAAAGATATATTACAGCATAAATAACGGTTAGCAAAATATACATCCTGATAACATTAGTTACGTCCTCATAGGGTTTGTTTGTCAGTGATGTTGTATGATGTTAAAAAAAAGAAGCTTTGGGTGTAATTGATGTCCGACATGTGGTCAAAGGAGTAAGAGCAAAGGAATGCCGAAAAGTCCAAACAATCCATTGGAATTGCTCAGTTCACTTGTTTTTTTAACCCAGCAGCTATGGCTAGGATAACAAGAGATCAACGACATCATGTCTAAGGTAGATGGCGAAATGTATGTGTGGTGTAAGGTAGATGGCGAAATGTATGTATTGTGTAAGGTAGATGGCGAAATGTATGTATTGTGTAAGGTAGATGGTGAAATGTATCTACTGTGTAAGGTAGGTGGCGAAATGTATCTATTGTGTAAGGTAGATGGCGAAATGTATGTAAAGTGTAAGGCGCTCGTGGTCCATGACTGGAGTCCGTGGCACGCCAGTTTTATGTGCCATGAATGCAAAATGCTCACAAAGGGAACTTTCGACATATAAGAAGGCTTAAAGCCCAGACTCCCCAAATCCTAAAAAACTTACATTCAACTACACATAAAACAGTTAGATTGGAGTAGTCAAGCTCGCTGATTTGGGTGCCACATGTCATCGTATCCCCATTGTGTATATCGATGCTGATGTTGTTGATCACTGGATTGTCTGGTCCAGACACGATTAGTTTCGCACCGCCGCCATACAGATGGAATATTGCTGAGTGCGGCGTAAAACAACAACAAACGAACCAATCGAACCGCAACTCGGCCTGTGACTCTGATATGATCAAATTACATAGGGGGTCGGGTTCGCGTGTCCTAGTTCCTACATATTGCCCTCTTCTGGAAAAAAACAAATTCTGGATTGTGTTTTGTTTTCGCTGAGACATGGACAAATCAGCTGAATTTAATTAGTAATTTGATCAAGAAACACACCTTCACACATGACTGTGAAAACATTTAATGATTACCAACCATAATGATCGTGACTCTATGGTAATTAAAATTTGATACTTAGTAATCAAATATGTAAATAACTAAAATATTGTCAGTGGGTCACATCATTTCGTGCCTAATGATTACCAATTAAATCTAAATCTCAATTTCCATTTGCAAACATGCCACGAACATTATAAAACGGTGACTGTTTATCCCTAAAAGACTCATAAGCGGGGATGCTACAACGAAGAGCGAAAATGATGAGAACATTGTTACGTGGTCCTTGGGTTAAAACACATGCACGTGAGCATAAACTAGGACGACAGATCCGACATCATTCTGTATCATACGATGTGAGTTTCAGATTTTCATTATGTTGCTATTATGTGTCGCTTTTGTTGTCTATCCTTTAAATTCACACTAGGTTGTCTCAACATCCAAAAGCAAGGGATAACGAAATAGTGAAGATTTTGAAAGGCATTTAGAAGTTGGACGAACATTAATACATGACACGTTTTATGGACAACAACTTCTGTTTCATTCTCCACACAACGTTTCAGAGCTAATTCTTGCCCCTTTATCAGGTGATGAGTTGTTTCATATTCTCATTATATTGCTATTATGTGTCGCTTTTTGTTGTCTATCCTCTAAATTCACACTACGTTGTCTCAACATTAAAAAACACAACGTTTCAGAGCTAATTCTTGCCCCTTTATCAGGTGATGAGTTGTTTCATATTCTCATTATATTGCTATTATGTGTCGCTTTTTGTTGTCTATCCTCTAAATTCACACTACGTTGTCTCAACATTAAAAAACACGTTTCAGAGCTAATTCTGCTGTAAAGTATAAAAAAGCAATTGTTATCAATAAAACGTGTCATGTATTCAAATGAAATATTGCTGAGTGCGGCTTTAAACAACAACTGAATAAAACAAGTGTTAAGTGGACCCAGGCTACGGAAGGAACCATTGAAAGAGCAGGATAGTTATTAGTCTTTATAGCGACTTACGTGCCGAAAACGGGAACTGACAGGTCCAGTCGGTATTGGAGAGTTTGGTTTTTAACGCTTTTTGATCAGAATTATCTGTTATGTTTTACCCCAGCGTCATGGTTAAACGTGCAAGGTCCTTACAGGAAAAAGTGAAGGTCCTGTAAGATAATGAGTGAGTGAGTTGGGTTTTATGCCAATTTTAGCAATATTCCGGCGATATGACGGCGGGGGACATCATATATTGGCTTTTACAAATTGAGGAATCGAATCCCGGCCTTTGGCGTGGCGAGCGAACGCTTTAACCACTAGGCTAGCCTACCGCCCACCGAAATCGATGAATGAGCCCCTCGACGATTTAACCATGTTAAATGGTTTGTAATCACACTTGGCACTATAGTTGATAAGCTGTCGAAATGCATATGAAACCTATATGTCTGATAAAGATCATACTCGGTTTCTTGGCTATTATTTCAGGAAACCATGAAAACTTGGCATGGTCTGCATACTCCAGGCTTGAACTACCTCGCAAACATCCGTCACATGAAGAAGTATATGAAGCGGATGGGACAGAATGTAAGGAGTTTATTTTATCGAATGAATCACAAAATATGTATCATTCAGTCTGTTTCAATTAGCTATTATTGCACTGCCATTTACGCCCTCGACCATGCATGTTTATTTCAATAAGAGGTAGGATATATTATACAACTGATGAAATTTCCAAACTTGTCAGAGATATTAGTTACTAGTTAGATATGTGCCATAAACATAAACGAATTTGGAAATCAGAAACCAAACATCCACCCACACGTTTTGCAAACGGAACAACAAAGGGTGTCAGTATGTTGACCCGGAAGTACTACCCAGTGACACTTCCTTGCACAATACGATGTGGGTGTTTGTCAGTCATGGCGATTCCAACCTACATCATAATCGTTTCACTGCCAAACCTGTCACGAGGTGTCAGGCTGACGTTCATTAAGACGTCGCGAAACCTGACCACGCCTATCAAGGAATGGCAAAGGGCATTGGGATGGGTATTTTGTTGAAAACGTGTCACCTGTGTGACGATTTCCTCTGGTTCGACTTTGTATAAACAATTAACTTCTGTTGGTCGGTTTGTTGTGTAACGCTACACGCAGCAATATTCTAGCTATATGGCGGCGGTCTGTAAATATATAAGTCTTCACCAGACAATCCATTGATGAGCAGCGTAATCTATGCTATTGGGATACGATGAGTGAGTGAGTGAAGTAAAATTTACAGTCACATAGACAATAATTCAGCCATATCGTGACTAAATCAGGTTATAGATTAATAATTATTTAAGGTCAATTATAAAAACCTGTCAACGAAGAACAATAAAACAACTAGATTATCACAAATATCAATTCAAAACTAGTAATTAAATCTAAAACATTTGAACAATACAATATAAAAACAAGCATGGGTTGCTGAAGACCAATTCTGACCCGTATCTTCACGGACATCCTAAAGATTTGCAAATGGCAGTGCAACATGTGGCCGCTGCACACAGACATAAGTTGCCCAGCGAATCATTTGAATCACAAAACCAGTAGTCTGCTGCAAGTAGAACATGTTGACTGGATTGGGACGGAAATTGGTAACCGTGTATACTGATGGCAACTGAATATTTCTGATACGACTGAGTGAGTGAGTTTAGTTATACGCCGCACTCAGAAATATTCCAGCTATATGGCGGCAGTCTGTAAATAATCGAGTCTGGACCAGACAATCCAAGGATCAACAGCATGAACATTGATCTACGAAATTGGGATACGATGCCATGTGTCAACCAAGTCAGCAAGCCTAACAATCCGATCCCGTTAGTCGCCTCTTACGACAAGCATGGGTTACTGAAGATCATTTCTAACCCGGATCTTCACGAGTATTCTGATACGAATGGAAGTGGTTGATGTTAAGAGGTCTGGTCTTGCTTCCTGCAGGTGTCCGACCTTTCGAAACTCAACGTCCTCCACATCACTGGCACAAAAGGAAAAGGTTCAACAAGCGCTTTTTGTGAAAACATTCTTCGTCACCATGGTTACAAGACTGGCGTATACAGGTGAGGTCAGGCATGTTTGTTATTTGCTATTTAACGTGCACACAGCAATATTCCAGTTATATGACAGCGGTGTGGGAATAATTTAGTCTGGACCAGGCAATCCAGTGATCAACAACATAAGCATCCATCAACGCAAATGGGATACGTTAACATTTGTAAACGAGGTCGACGAGCCTGACCACTCGATGCTGTTAGTCGCCTCTTATGACAGGCATGGGTTGCTGAAGATCGATTCTGACCTGATTCGTCATTGTTTGAGATCAAGCACGACACGGACAATTGTGGCACAGACATTAGCACACATGCTACACATGTTATCACGGTGGTCAACAAGAAAACCTGTAATGGCCTTTATAATTTACAAGCTAAAATTTTAGTCTATTCATGATTGCATCACTATGCATCATATGAAGTATGTAAACTGAGAGCCAACCCTATTAATTCATAAGAACTTAGTCTTGCAGTTATAACTGGTACACGGTATTGTCTCTATCCATGCGTAGTATACGTATGTGTTTTTACAAAGTATAGAAACTTTGACTCAATACTATTAACCCAAAGCATTTAGCCCTTCAGTTATTTCTGGTACACAGTAAGGCTCATCAGTTAAAACCAACAATTTATAAATGCATTTTGTTGTCCATACGATATTTGTTACAAATTTGCATACCTGTGCCTGCTCTGCAGCTATATTCTCACCCAAATTATTATAGATATCACCAAGAAAGCATGTATCATGGGCCCAAGGCCTCTTTATTGAATAAATCTGTATGTCTGTCTGTCTGTATGTTTTCTCATTGTTTAATATGTGTCTTTTGTCCTGCATAGTTCCCCTCATCTGGTGAGCATCACTGAGAGGTTCCTGTGTGACGGCAAGCCTGTTGGGACGAGTCTCTTCAAGGACCATTTCTGGGACATTTACAACAAACTCTTCAAATTAAGGGTATTGATATACACAGTCTCAGTTCACTGCATATTGTTAAGGAAACACGAATGTGTGTATAGCAGTCCTGATCTGTTTCTTTATGCATTCCAGTCTGATGTCAGATTTATGTTACAGAATCAAATAGAGGGAATTTGGACAGAAAATTAACCCTTTGCCTCGAGTGTTTGATGATCTAATATCGTTAACTTTAATTGTGGAAAACAAATACACACGACTGTACTACAACAGTGTGCGAAATAACCACTGGCCCGCTAGCCCGTGAATAGTAAAACTTCAGTCGGGCCATTCGTGACCAACTCGTGTTATTCCGGGACAAGCCGAATAGCGACTCGTGCCCCTCTGGAAGGATTTCATATTGGCGCATGAACATCAGAACTTCTTCAAACAGGAACGATAACTCTATTCTTGTTTGATTCCAATGGTACTTAATATCACCGAAGTAATCATACATTGTGTTGGTGTTTATGGTTTTGAAGAATTAAACCGTTTTGATACAACTAAAAGAAGGAGAAAAACATATTTGTTACAGACTTATTCTGACGTAATTATTACCAGATGTTCACCTTATATTTCCAATCATATTTCTAAATAGGGTTCGATAATCACAAATGGGATTTGTTTTATTAAATATGTAAATAACATTTATTAAAGCTACATTAAATCCCAAAGCAGAAACTCAAAAATGACTTGAAAATATGTCTCAAACTGAACATTCGTGTAACCTTGCTGTTATACCCAAAGTGGAATTTTGAATGAATTCGGTGAAAAATATATGAATGACTACAAAAAAAGAGTCAGACTAAAATATTCCCAAAGATGTGAAATATATGTCCAATGTTAAAGATTAAAGTTGATTAGTTACATGCAGATATATGTCTAATATTATTGTTTTGAAACGCGTAGCGATTTATAATTATATTTCCTAAAATTGTTGGAAGCGCACGTACAATCTCCATAGCAAGCCCGCAACATCGTCAGAAATACCCTCAGTGGAAACATGAGAGCCGTAATGTCAACAAACGCACGTGCATGTATTTGAATCTCTCACCGTCAATCGCATGATTCTTATCGAAAACTTCATAACAGGCAGCACAATCATGTTAGCTAAGTTCTTTTGCTTTCAATATGACGATATATATTGTTCATGATTTTTTAAACAATGACATAATGCCATAAACGATTTAAGTACTCGGGATTATTTTTACCAAAGCACCGCAGTCATTTACGCGCGTTCTGATTGGTTTGTCGTATTTTCGCACATAACAAGCATCGAGAGGGGGACGAGTCTTCTTGGAGGTTAGGGAAAGAGGCGAGTGGTGACGAATGGCCTGTCGTTTGAACAGATACAGAGATTCACAATTCGAGGAGAATGTTTGAATATTTGAGTAATTGTTCAAAGAAGGAATCCACAAAATACGGGACATATCACGATGGCCTAGAATTTTTTAATGTCAAAGTTCAACATATATATTCCGTGAACTATTTCTTAAATATATTACTCAGAAAGATATCATAAAAATGAATGTTTCCACATTCGTTGTAGACACGTCAAGATGGTCTGGAAATAATCAAGCTAAACACATATTTACTTGTTATCAGGAAAAGAAAGAATACTATCTCCCCTCTTCACAGGACTCAGAAGACGATATGCCACATGCATTTGCCTTTGGTCTGGAAGTAATCAAGCTCAACGTTCAACACATGCATCCCGGGAAATATATACTTAATAGCATAAAAATCAATGTATTCTTTACAGGACTCAGAAGACGATATGCCACATGCATTTGCCTTTCTGACTCTACTAGCGTTCGACCTCTTCCTTGCGCAAGGAGTTGATGCTCTGATTCTTGAAGTTGGAATAGGAGGTCAATACGACTGCACCAACATTGTTGAAAGACCAGCTGTATGTGGAATTACCTCGCTGCATGTGGACCATGTCCAATACCTGGGTAACACTTTAGAATCCGTGGCCTGGCACAAGGGAGGTGTGTTTAAAGTACGTTTCTGAATGTAATAGATTAAATCCTTGGGAACTGACAGAGCGTATATTTGAATATTCAATGAACAATTGTGAAACATACTTGAATGAATATCACAAATGTGAATGACTTTTTAATTGACGAATGTCCGTAAAAACACTGTATTTGCGGGTGATGAGACACATCATTGTAACCAGCCAATCTTAATTGTCTTCGAGAAGCAGTTGGAAGCCTAGTGGTTAGAGCGTTTGCTCGTCACGCCAAAGGTCCTGGTTCTATTGACACGTGCGGCCAATATCTGGTGATTAAATGTTGCAAAGCGGCATAAAACCAAACTTATGTACTCATTTATTTTTTTCGACTCACAACTATCGATTCCAGTATCATGATTTTCAAAAACATTGTCTCTTGAGTTAGGTAAAAATAACTAAAGTTTCTTCAAACCATTAAACTGGTTGGTGTAGATGATTGTCAAGGCTATGAGTGAGTATATTTCAGCATATAACACTTTATAACCCGTGGCCTGGTAGAAGGGAGGTGTGTTTAAAGTAAGTTGCTAAATGGAATACAATTAAATCGCCGGAACTGAAAATGCTTATGTTCGCAAAAAAGATTCCACGTGAGTATTTGCTTGCTGTTTAACGCTACACTCAGCAATATTCCAGTTATAACTGCCGTCATATATCTGGAATACTTACACGAAAAGCAAAGAAAATCCCACCGCATCTTTTCAATCGACTAACACACAAGCCATTACCAGGCGAAACACTTGCAAAGACATGGATTCATCAAAGATAAATCAATAAGGTCTGTTGTAACCATAAACCAGGCATGACTGTCAGCGTCAACGTCGAGATTCTATATTTCAGCCAGGAACTCCAGCAGTGACAGCTCCTCAACACCCACGTGTGATGAAAGTTCTAGAAAACAGAGCTGAAGAAATAGGGGTAATGCATGTGTTTTGCATATTGGCGAGTGATTTGGGGATAGTCTTGTGGTTCGATTCCCCACATGGGTGCAATATGTGAAGCCCTCTCTGGTATCCCAGCCGTAATGTTGCTGGAATATTGCTGAAAGCGGCGTAAAACTAAACTCACTCACTCAGACTGGATCAAACAGCCAATCACACAGCTGCTCTATAAGAGCAATACTCTTAAACGTTTATACGTTTATAATCTCATCTTATCTCACCTTCGTATTTCCATTCAGCTGAACGGAACACATATAGTGAACACGAAACGTGCTTATCTTCAGATTTTTTTTTATCATTACGTTAATGTATAAAGTCGCTGCCCCTTCAAGAACTTGTCAGGGCGGTTAGGTAGCCTAGTGGTTAAAACGTTCGCTCGTCACGCTGAGACGCTAGTTCGATTCCCCACATGGGTGCAATGTGCTAAACCCATTTCTGGTGTCCCCAGCCGTGATATTGCTGGAATATTGCTAAAAGCGGCGTAAACAATACTTACTCACTAACCCACTAAACAACTCGTCACCTTTCTCTCTCGGGTTTACAAACACTGTCAGTCTTTCCTGAAATGCATTTGCATTATATCAACTGTTTTGTAGACTAAGCTATATGTAGCCCCGCCACTGGCTACATACGACGGTGGACCTGACCCAATCAGGTTAGGGATTCCTGGTCACGTGCAGCAGGTCAATGCCTCCCTAGCACTACAGATGTGTAACATATGGCTGGAAGCTCTGGGACAAGGTAATACGGTGTAACATAGTTCAATAAGTTGTGTCAGTGATAACGAATGGTGGGCGGTGGGGTAGTTTAGTGGTTAAGGCGTTGGCTCGTCACGCCGAAGACCCTGGTTCGAATCCCCACATGGGTACAATGTGTGAAGCCCATTTCTGGTGTCCCCCGCCGTGATGTTGCTGGAATATTGCTAAAAGCGGCGTAAAGCCAAACTCAGTCAGTCAGTCAGAAAACGAATGGTTAATTAAAGACTCTGTTGTGGTAAAAGCAGGTGGATTTTGTCTGTCAATGTAAATGGCGTACAGTTCAATAATATGCTGAGTTATAACTATAACTACTCCACAAGAGAAGGTCATGATATCTCATGTTTACATACGTGTTGTCAGATATTCTTGTTATTACACGAACTCCAGTTCAGAATGGTTAAATCAATGTGCAACACGGTTTAGTGCGTGTGTAATGATTCCCTGTTAATGAATGCATATCTCACGTTTACATCCGTGTTGTCATATATTCTTGTTATTACATGAACACCAGTTCAGAATGGGTAAATCAATGTGCAACACGGTTTAGTGCGTGTGTAATGATTCCCTGTTAATGAATGCATTTATACAGAACACATCTGTTGGTAATTTGCTGTTTCAATTACAACACTGCCATGTAGCAATAAATATACTATCACACTGTAAAACGTTTCAGGTATTGGTACGTATTGAGTACACTTATCAACTCAGAAAATACTACAGCGCCTGGTCTGTTGTTTAGATTGCCACAATGTCAGCGTCATTTACAATCCAGTATTTCAGTCAATCCACATACAAGTCATTGGTTGGTTGTTACAGTGTCACCTTCATTTACAATCCAGTATTTCAGTCAATCCACATACAAGTCATTGGTTGGTTGTTACAGTGTCACCTTCATTTACAATCCAGTATTTCAGTCAATCCACATACAAGTCGTTGGTTGCTTGTTACAGTGACACCTTCATTTACAATCCAGTATTTCAGTCAATCCACACACAAGTCATTGGTTGGTTGTTACAGTGTCACCTTCATTTACAATCCAGTATTTCAGTCAATCCACATACAAGTCATTGGTTGGTTGTTACAGTGTCACCTTCATTTACAATCCAGTATTTCAGTCAATCCACATACAAGTCATTGGTTGGTTGTTACAGTGTCACCTTCATTTACAATCCAGTATTTCAGTCAATCCACATACAAGTCATTGGTTGGTTGTTACAGTGTCACCTTCATTTACAATCCAGTATTTCAGTCAATCCACATACAAGTCATTGGTTGGTTGTTACAGTGTCACCTTCATTTACAATCCAGTATTTCAGTCAATCCACATACAAGTCGTTGGTTGCTTGTTACAGTGTCACCTTCATTTACAATCCAGTATTTCAGTCAATCCACACACAAGTCATTGGTTGATTGTTACAGTGTCACCTTCATTTACAATCCAGTATTTCAGTCAATCCACATACAAGTCATTGGTTGGTTGTTGTTTAACGCCCCGTTCTGCAATATTCCAGCTATATGGCGGCGGTCTGTAAATAATCGAGTTGGGGCCAGACAATCAAATGGTCAACAGCATGAGCATCGATCTGCGCAATTAGGATACGACAGCATGTGTCAACCAAGTCAGCGTGCCTGACCACCCGATCCGTTAGTCGCCTTTTACGACAAGCATGGGTTACTGAAGATCAGTTCTAACCCGGATCTTCGCCGGTCTGCAACACGTTTTAGACATGTATAGATATAATATTTTCATAATCTCATAGCCCAACAATAAGTGTTATTGTATGCTTCAATATTGGTATATACTTCATATAACAGGGGTGGAACAGCCATCTGGTGATGAGGCCATCTCCTCGGCCATGAAGAAAGGACGCGAATGGTCACAGAAGGCCCAAGGATTCAAACTGACTGACAGCATGATGAATGATAAGTATAAATATTTTGTCATCCAAGAATGATATCAATTGGACATCCACAAGCTTACATCATACTTACAGACTAAACAAAACTATAATGGTTTAAGCATTGGCTTCAAGATTTTGTTCTTAATAGACTAACGCTAAAATAAGATATAGAAATGGTTTTTGTTATAACAATATCAACAAATTTAATTTCACAGACTGCTTATCGAAACATTAACACCGTACGACAACAATTCGACTTCAGTCACAGAATGAAGCGCCCATTGACCTCACAAGAAACACTTCGTCCGCCAGTGGACATTGCACAATATCTACTTCAGTTTGTGAAAACGTAAACACAAGGAAATATTGCTTGATCAGCCAACCAAACACCATTAATGCAACTGCAATATTAGAGTACATAAATTATACATAAATATAAGTAGTTATACGCATTATACCTATAGCGTTCGGTACGTTCAGGCAAGTTAGTGTAAAGTCAACTTGTTTATTTGCATTGTACCGTTGGTTTCTTTTCTAAGTTTGGCCCAAACAAATCTCCCCGGAAGAGCCCATGTGATCTCCCGTCCCGGGGTGACCTACTACCTGGACACGGCCCACACTGACCTCAGCATCCAGGTATTGATGCAGCTTCTGTCATTTATTCGATCATGAAATTAGAGAGAATATTGAATATTCATTGTGGTTAACTGGACAGAAAACCAATGTTATTGCCACAAACTAAGGTTTGGTTCGAGACTGAGAAGGTGGTTCTGAGAGATGTTTGGGATCAGGTGTTTATTATTATAGGATTATAGGATATTTATATAGCGCACATATCCACTCAACTAGTAGATGCTCAAGGCGCTGGTATTTTTCCCTCGACCATTGGATGCCAATCTCAACGGCACATCGTATTATCAAGTGGTGCACTTGTGCCTAATCCCGTTGTCTTTTGGACAATAAAATATTTTTAAACCAACTCCCTGGGGATCATACAACTCTTGCAACCACTAGGTGCACCGAGTTATTGTGGCTTTCCCATCCTTATGAGGTAATAATAATAATAATGTGTCCATTTTATATAGCGCCAAACTCCACACTAGGTATGCTCATAGCGCTAACAATCAAGGCCATGTTAGGTACCCATTCGCAGCTGGATGGACTGGGACACATAGTCACAGTACTTTGTCCAAGTTTACTGCACGTTGCTGTACCCGCAACTAGGTGTTTGCACGTATTCATGTGTCCACCATCTGATCATATACCAACGGATTCGTGGCTTCTTTTAAGTGCACAGGGTTGTGTACTGTACGCTAGGGTTTGTGACAACACTGAAAGAGTGTGCACACAAAGCTGACTCCAAGATTTTTACACCCAGCCACAAGTGGGCTCGATCCCGACACCTCAAGCTCGCTGGATCACTAGCCTGGCGCCTTAAACAGTTCGCCCACCACGCTGTTAGGCTCGGTTTCGTGGTTGATTTCTTATTTTCGTATCCATACAGTCGTTGCCCATAATGTAAATCATTGGTCTTGTTGAGTACTCATGAACCGTAGACTGATTGGTGCATTCAACTGTGTGCGGCGTTAAGCAACAGCTAACGGGTGTAAGTGAGTGAGTAGTGTTTTACGGCCCGTTAAGTGCTATTTTAGCTATATCACGGCGGGGGGCACACGAAATGGGATTCATACATTGTACCCATGTACGGAATAAAACCGTCGAAAGGTTTTACCATAAGGCTACCCCACGTCTTATGAGAATCAGTGAAAACCTCTGGTTTTAGCTGGATATCAGAAGTGGGTTTCACACATTGTACCCATGTAGGAAATCGAACCAGGGTCTTCGGCGTTTGAACACATGAATAAGTGCTGCCTTCAGTTGGTCTGCGACACTGAATCAATGTCACTGTGATGTGTTCTTGTCGACGTCGAGAAAGCGAACCCAGGCAATCATATTCAAATAGGATGACACATTCCTTGGCCTGAAACTGTAGCCCAGCAATCCTCATTTACATCCGAGCATTTCCTGACTTTGCATCACGATTTGCGTCCTCATGAATAAATATTAAGATAATTATTCTGTTCCTAATGTATAGTACATATTCATTGTCTATTAACTGACATGGCAAGTAGGGCACTTCGCTGCAATCTGGTTATGGTTGAAGGTTGTTGGTGATTTCAGTATAATTGCTACCAAATAAATCTTCAGAGTTTTGAGATTTGGAAAGAATAATAACTTTGCGAAGGTGTGTTTGTTTAGTGACTAACGCGACACTCAGCAATTCTCCAGTTATCTGACGGCGCTCTGGAAGTAATCAAATCTAGTCCATACACTCCAGTGATTGACAGCATGAGCATCGGGCTGCACAGTTGGGGGACATGCAGCAACCAAGTCAGCAAGCCTGACGACGCCATCCTGTTAGTCGCCTCTTGTGACAAGCACTAATTGCTGAATTGCTAATTGTCTAACCCGGATCTTCACGGGTCCTTTGCGAAAGTGTGTTGGTAGGACATGATTAGCCTTAAACCTATACATGTACGAGAACACACAATCGAGATTGAAACGACATTGTCTCACCTGCTTGACAATTTCTGTCAACTGCACCTATTACCTACGTTATTTCTATTCTACCCGTGAGGATCCGGGTTAGAAGTGATCTTCAGTAACCCATGCTTGTCTTAAGAGACGAGTAACGGGATCGGGTGGTCAGGCTCGCTGACTTGGTTGACACATGTCAACGTATCCCAATGGCGTAGATCGATGTTCATGTTGTTGATCACTGGATTGTCTTGTCCAGAATCGATTATTTACAGACCGATGCCACGTAGCTGGAATATTGCTGAGTGCGGCGTATAACTGAACTCACTCAGTCTTTCTATTCATTTATGGCAGCACCTTGCGGAGTGGTTCAACCAAAAAGCTGATGAAGAACGGTCAAATCTGAAGTAAGTCACGTGTACGACAATGCCACCGAATATGAGTGTACAGTGTGGTAGAAGTTCATCCCACGTTGAAACGAAGTTAGACAAAGAAACAGTCTCCGTCAGCTAGCCACGTATCTTTTAGCCAGATTCACAAACCATTGAACATTCATTTTATGAAATTTGTACACAGACATCAAATATATATTCAAATACAGTCGGGCACCAGTGTTTCGATATTCATGGGACTAGGGAAAAAATATCGAGTTATCCGAACTTCGAGATATCCAACCAGGGCATATCATCACATGTCACTATGAAAGAAAACAAAACGCTGCTCAATATGTTTTGATTCGAAACTATTATCCGTTATCAGAACTGCTTAGTCGTAACAGTGAGGACTTCCTAATTAAATCCTTCTTAATTAATCCTAACTGAATAACAAACAAGTGACACCTTCAACTCAATTAGCACTAATTAGTTTACACTACCGCACCCCGTTGATTCATGCCGCCCCGTGTGTAAACGTATGGAAACAACCTCAGTTCAGAGGGATACTTGCCCATGAAAGGGAGCTGAATATCGCGTTTCTTTGCAAATATCGACTTAAAAGGGTAATTTTGCTTGTTGGGACCATGAAATTATATCGAGATATCCGAAATATCGAGCCATCCGTGTCAAGTTAAAAGATCTTGAATAATGATAAATTGTGAAGGATTTTGCCGGGACCGAGATGTTATATCGAGACAGCCGAGATATCGAGTTATCAGAGTTCGACACAACGGTGCTTGACTGTAGTGTGTTTTGTCGCTATTAAAGAATAGTTGTTCACCTCTGTTTATAATGAGTGTATATATATAACTGGTGTAATGAAAGCCATGGTACATTTTGTATTTGTGATTCAGTGAATACATCTCAAAGGGCAGAAGATGTATATGTCTGGTTCCAACTGGTGTTTAAATCCGGTTTACCGAAACAAAGTGGAAGTAAGATTATTTGTTTTTGAAAACTACATTGCCCGTGTATTCATGTCATTATGCGAGTCGAAATATGCTTAAATACTTCAGTCACATATCAGAGAATACCAACCCGTTTCCAATTATAGTGACTGTGTGAGTGAGTGAGCATTGTTTTACGGCGCTTTTAGCAATATTCAAGCAATATCACAGCCTGGGACACCAGAGATTGGCTTCACAGATTGTACCCATTTGGTCAATCGAACCCGGCTCTTCGGTGTGACGAGCGAACGCTTTAACCACTAGGCTTACCCACCGCCCCCTTTCACATTACAGAGGACGTGTTGCTCGAGTCATGATGTTCTACGGAGCTGACGGAAGGGATCAATGCAAACATTTGTCGATATTGAAGGTAAGCATGCATACTGGCGGATATGAACGCTGGCATTTAAGACTGGGCGGTTCTGGACGGTTATTTCACGTCGGGATGACATTTGGATGGCATGGTGTAGAATCGTAAGTTATGGGTGAACAAAACTCATTAATCTTAATGGTGTTTTGAATGGTGTACGTTACAACGACGATCACGTTCAAGATTATATTCTGCTTTGGAGAAAATAAGGGATATAATGTCACGTTGGAGAAAAACATCCATGGACGTTTTCACCTTTCGAGGCAGCACAACATGGCCGTTCTGACATAAGCGCTGACATTATCTCCGATAGGCTAAGAGGGGTGAGATGGGTGGACAGCTACAACAGGACCAGAATCTACCGGTAACGCAAGCTGAGCTGAAACAAGTTTAGTAATCAGTGTGTCGTCACTGACTTTACTGTATCAACGAATGCTTTAACCATTCTGCAACCCCACCCTTAGGGACCAAATGGGTGACTTTGAATGGTCCATTATCACTTAGAAATTGTCAACATATATTTGGATGACATACCGTGTGTGTTCATCCTGACCTGACTTCGATATGTGTAGAACGTCCTCGTTACACAATCTCCTTGTAGCAGTGTCACAGTGAGCCAGGAGCCATCTACATCAAGTATGCAATTGTGTGCCACAGATTCAACTACACATATTGCATAATTATGTAAACAGCTGTAACTCCTGAGGGCAATACTTTATTGGACAGACATCAACTCAGCATTATCGTTGCGTCTGTGTTTGAGGTGTTACATGTGCATCTTCAATATGGCCACTGACCAGTTTCTGAAAGATTTGTTTGTTTGTTTGTTTGTTTGTTTGTTTGTTGGTTGGTTGGTTTGTTGTTCAACGCCGCACCCAGCAACGTCCCACCTGGTTTACCTTATTATACATAACAATGACGCGAGTGTATTCATTTTGTACAACTTTTAATATTTCGACATTGTTTGTCAACACAACGACGAAGAAAGCGTCAACATGCTACCTACAAACCTGCCTTACAGGTCTCTTGAAGCAACTGTCTGTGTTTTTATTCGCTCAACTGGAATAATCGTCGTCCTGGCGACGTGAGTGAGTTGAGTTTAGTTTTGCACCACACTCAGCAATATTCCAGCTATATGGCGACGGTCTGTAAATAATCGAGTCTGGACCACACAATCCAGTGATCAACGGCATGAGCATCGATATGCGCAATTGGGAACCGATGACATGTGTCAACCAGGTCAGCGAGGCTGACCACCCGATCCCGTTAGTCGCCTATTACGACAAGCATGGGTTACTGAAGATCAATATTCTAAACCAGATCTTCACGGGTACCTGGCCACGTGACCTCATGTTTGTTGTTTGTTGATTATCACCTCACTCAGCAATGTTTCAGCAATGTTTCAGCAATGTTTCAGCAATGTTTCAGCGATATGACATCACTTGCTTGATAACAGTGTTAGAACCTACACCGAAACGTCGCTCTCACAGCAAAAAAGAAGTTGTTCATCCATATATTGTTATCCTTCCTTACTGCCCCAACTTCTCACAGAAGTTATGTGACTTCCGTCTGTAAATAATCGAGTCTGACTGGAAAATCCAGTGATTTACACCGGCACATTCCCACTTACCCAACTGGGGCGTTAGCAGTTACGGGTCAGTGATTGTGCAGGGTGAATATGTTACCCCTGCTTTGGCTGTGACAAACCTTTACCCAGCACTCCAATCAGGACCAATTAGAGCAATCTCATGACCACCGGTGAACATATTTCACAATATGTCAGCACTAAAGATAGCCTTGTGACATGTTATGGAAGAACGTCCAAAAGCCTGGACTTACTACTAAGTTGGTCGACTAGTTCGCCGTGCCATCACCCTCCCCTCTCCTCCCTACACAAGATGTCAACACTACAGATACCTTGTGACATGTTATGGAAGAACGTCCAAAAGCCTGGACTTACTACTAAGTTGGTCGACTAGTTCGCCGTGCCATCACCCTCCCCTCTCCTCCCTACACAAGATGTCAGTTACTGAAGTCCAGCTTTAACCCAGATGTTAGTGTCTACACCCAAACGTCGCAAAGGATGGCCATGTCGAATGATGAAATTGTAAAAGTATCAACAAGAATGTGTCGTTGAGTCTTCGGGTACCAGGTAGAGGATTTGTCAAAGAATTTCTGATGAAGGAACATCAATCAAACGAATAACCAAAGTGTGTTGTTATTACATAACATGTACAGCACATTATGTAGATCGTGTTACCTATAATATACATGGCATTGATCTCTAAGGCATCGAATCTGGTCCAAACAATCCCGTGAAAATCATCCACGCATGCATGTCCTCAGTTTCGATCACAGGTCACAGGTTGCAGGTGACCTATATCAAAGCCCGACTCCCCACAGGTGCTGCCAATGGTATGAACATGAGATTCTGGACATGGCGTTCTTTCATCACTTACTCAGACCAGACATTCTAGTGATCATTAATCCATGCATTTGGAACCGATTATATGCTATCAACCACAATCCAATTATGGCAACGGGTGACAGATAGCATGGAACCTATATCACACAATGTTCCCACAGTGATAAAATATAAAATCATTGAATCAAAATCAGTTAATATGAAGAAAGAACGCCTGATGTGTCCTTAAGGACTGTTCGACTGGAATTGAATCCCCAAATCACAGTGATTAGGATCCTTGACCATGACAGTACTCTTGGGTTTCAACATGTTTGATCTGTGCCATGATAAACTAACACTTCGTAATTTACATGACAGAATGTTCACAGTAAATACAAAACTAACATACCCACTGATGTTCTTTTAGGATAGACTCTCACTGGATGCTGTTATCTTTACGCCGTTCGCCAGCCCCACTGAAGACTGCTCTATAGGTAAGGTAACATTCGCAGACAATTTGCAGTTGTTGAGTTTATCAATAGCGGCATATAAAACTCAGAGCATGATGTTTCGCGAAACTTTCGTGACAAAAACTTTCAGTCAGTTAGTAAAATCACTATAAGTATGCATGAACTAAACTGACTGACTGACTGAGTTTGGTTTTACGCCGCTTTTAGCAATATTCTAGCAATATCACGGCGGGGGACAGCAGAAATGGGCTTCACTAATTGTACACATGTAGGGATTCGAACCCGGGTCTGCGGCGTGACGAGCCAACGCTTTAACCACTAGACTACCCCACCTCCCGTAACTAAATAGTTCATGAACAGATTACTAATTTGACCAGTCATTTTACGAAATCCTTAGCTCAGAATAACTGTAACAAGTTTATTGGAATTACCAGGTATTGGCATCTTTACAAAACAACAACAACATTCATTCATGACATAAGCATGTGACATCAAACTAGGTATTCCATACCCCATAAACAAGCAAAGTAGATAATTGGTTCACGAGAACAGGTATTGATACAAACAACGGAACAACATTGATTCCTTTAATCCTTCTGATATTGGTAGTAATGATGTGATAAAGAAAGGAGATGGCGACAGTTTATTTGTTTGTTGAACATCCCACTCAGCACTATTCCAGCTATATGCCTGTGGAATCTGTTTAACATCGCACTCAGCAATATTCCAGCTATATGCCTGTGGAATCTGTTTAACATCGCACTCAGCAATATTCCAGCTATATGCCTGTGGAATCTGTTTAACATCGCACTCAGCAATATTCCAGCTATATGCCAGTGGAATCTGTTTAACATCGCACTCAGCAATATTCCAGCTATATGCCTGTGGAATCTGTTTAACATCCCACTCAGCACTATTCCAGCTATATGCCTGTGGAATCTGTTGAATATCGCACTCAGCAATATTCCAGCTATATGCCAGTGGAATCTGTTTAACATCGCACTCAGCAATATTCCAGCTATATGCCTGTGGAATCTGTTGAATATCGCACTCAGCAATATTCCAGCTATATGCCTGTGGAATCTGTTTAACATCGCACTCAGCAATATTCCAGCTATATGCCTGTGGAATCTGTTGAATATCGCACTCAGCAATATTTCAGCTATATGCCTGTGGAATCTGTTTCGATAAATGTTTGATACTGATTGGTTTCTGTGTTTCACTAATCTCTCAATTGAATGTCAACCATCTGATATCACTTTAAGCAACGGCCCATGTAGATCCAGGTAGAAGTCTTCAGCAACCCATTCTTGCCAAAGGCCAGTATCTGCATGGGTAGCACTGGGCAGTTATTCTCTCTATCTAGGTTGGTACATGTCGGGGTTTCTTAATTCTGCAGATCTATGCATACGGGATTAATTATCTACAGGCCTCCGCAAAACCACTGCAATATCGTTGTCGATATTGGAGTGCGGCATTTAAAATCAGTCAGTCGATTGATCGCTTTCTTCAACTGGAAAAGGAAACGCGTAAGTGTGTATTGATCTGGCGTAATTGAATTATGTCTTTTCAGATTACATCTATGATAATATCTCCAAGGAAGAACAGTTCCAGAGCGTTCTCTCTCTCAAGAAATTCTGGGAAGACTCCAACACTTCCACAACAGACAACATGACAACCGAAGGTAAACATGCTGGCCATTCATGTGCGTCGTTTACAGCGAGAAGTTTCCCAGAGGCTCTCATAGCCGCGACAGGTGGGCGTGACCTCAACATACGTGGCATAGAGGATTATATCTCTCAGCAACAATCTGGCAAACATCGTATGACGTCTTCGGGCGATCATTACAGAGATGGAAGTGTTACGTGGGCATCAACAAAAGATGGAGTATGTCTTGATTATCCAAAATTACCAGAACATGTCAAGAACGCCGATCACGTTCAGATTCTGCTTGCTGGAGGTTTCAAGATAATTGGTCATGGTCTGTGGTATCTTCAAGGGGATCTATTCTGAATGAAAAGGGTAATAAGAGATTGAAACATGTGCCATTGTTCTGGAATACCGAATATCTACCTTAATTGTGAGCGTAAACAAGGAACATTGTATAAAACCCTTTGCAATACCGTGACTATATTCTGTATGGTTTTACGATGTATAAACGTATTCAAGTTGACATATTTACTTGGTTTTGACACATACAGTTCCAATTTCTTGCCATCTTTGTTACATCTCATGCCTAAAACTTTACAATAATGTGACTTATTTAGATTGACAAATGTCTTGCTTACAGTGTGTGGGTGATCGTGTTTTTTCGCCGTTTTTAGCATAAGTCCAGTAACATCACGGTTTCACACATTGTACCCATGTGGGGAATCATTGTTATAAGGAATCGGACCCGGAATATCAACCATTATGCTATCACACCGTTCCTTCTTGCCTACAGAATTGTGAAGTCGTGATGGTTTGCACTTGTCACTGCTGATGATGCATGTAGACCGAATCGTATCCCCGGATATGATGCAGTATTTGTAATAAACAATTGACACACTTTGATTCGTTTAAGTATTAAGGTTACTCATTGTTTTGCTCGAAACCTTCATTAACAAAATGTGGTGGCTGCCAAACTTTGTTCCAACACATGTCCCGTCATATTTCATGAGCATTGTAAGAGAATATACTACAGTACATGAGACCGTTATGGATTTGGTTTCTTGAAGTGAAGACTGTCAAAACACTGATATTCTCTGAGACCCGTGTATGAATGAATGAAGTTAAAATTGCTGCTCGAACGCTAAATAAGCACCTGCGTGAATGTCAGGGAACCATTCATATTGGCAGATCGATGCTCATGATGTCTATCACTGGATTGTCTGGTCCAGACACGGTTACTTACAGATAACCGCATGAGTGCAATTTGCATGCCTCAGTTAGGTGGAGCCCAGCAAGAGGTTGCCGAAATATTAGGGCTGTTTGCATGCTTGAGTTAGGTGGAGCCCAGCAGGAGGTTGCCAAAACATGAGGGCTGTTTGCATGCTTCACTTACGTGGAGCCCAGGAAGAGGTTGCCAAAACATGAGGGCTTTTTGCATGCCTCAGTTAGGTGGAGCCCAGCAAGAGGTTGCCGAAATATTAGGGCTGTTTGCATGCTTCAGTTAGGTAGCCACCAGCCCAGGGCTATTTGGATGCCTCAGTAAGGTGGATCTCAGCAAGAGGTTGCCGACACATTAGGACTATTTGCATACCACAGTTAGGTAGAACACAGTAAGAGGTAGCCAGGCGTCTACAACTTGCGGCTTTTTTGTATGCTTCAGTTAGGTAGAATAAAAGAAGCCAGTTTTTTTGTAACTCGGCTCTGTCTGGGATTTGCATATACTTGCTGTTCTCGGTGACATAGTTGCTTGATGCCTGCCCCGCATTTAGACGTCAACGCCATGAACATTAAACATGTTGTTTACCATTTTCGTACGATCTCAAAATCCACCTATTAAAGTTTACATGAAAACTTGTTATAATTTTACGTTTAAAAGAGAATTAATATAAAGCACAATTTTTTCGGCTTGTATAGCATGACCTGTACACATTCTTCGAGGGAGCATTCTCGGTCGACCATACAGCGCGCAAGTTTCAATCTTTGGATCTTGCTTCTACCTGCAGTCACTACAATCCAAACCCAAACCTTAGCTCCGGGTTATGCCATGGACAAAGAATACTCTATAGGCAGGCAGCTGTGTTCATGGTTTGTAGTTTTCTGCTAACTTGTTAATGTGATTGTTGTGGAAAACGAAACAAAAGTGAAAATGCGTATTTCCAAATCACGGTCACTGTAATTATCGATTGTGGGTAAGTTTTATCTGTGTCTTTATGATTAGATTCCACATTGTTTGGTGTAGTTTGATATGCAGACATCCAAGTCACATCGTCTGACATCAAGAATGAGGACAAATTATATGGATATGGTGACCACTTGCTTGACAACGACATTAGGATCTATGTTGAAATGTTGCCTACACAGAATAAAGAAGTATATCCATCAAAATTGTCATCATTCTTCATCTCCGCAAATGCTACAATGCAGATCGAAGAAGTCATCGTCTCTTTCTAGTGACCAAACTTGACCCACGGATTCCCACTGAATTAAATCAGCTCATACAGCAGGCCTGAGGTAATGTGTGGTGTTGTGACCTTTCTAAAAGTGGTGACCATAGAGATAGGTCAGGATATAGTGTAAAACATGAAACTTTACACCATGGTCTTACAAAATGCTGAATGGTTTTGAGTGAGCAAGTGTGTAAGTTAAAGTTTAACTTCACATCGGTAGTTTCTCAACAATATTGCAACTAGACCAAGCTTTATACTTTTATTCGTATTTGGTATTCTAGAACAATGTCACAAGTTAATTATTAACAGTGGCAGGCGAAGCTCACACAATGTTCTTTTTCGTTCAGAATAGTTCCCCTTGAAGATACCACAGACCATGACCAATTATCTTGAAACCTCCAGCAAACAGAATCTGAACGTGATCGGCGTCATTAACCTGTTCTGGTAATTTTGGATAATCAAGACACACTCCATCTTTTGTTGATGCCCACGTAACACTCTCATCTCTGTAATGATCGCCCGAAGACGTCATACGATGTTTGCCAGATTGTTGCTGAGAGATATAATCCTCTATGCCACGTATGTTGAGGTCACGCCCACCTGTCGCGGCTATGAGAGCCTCTGGGAAACTTCTCGCTGTAAACGACGCACATGAATGGCCAGCATGTTTACCTTCGGTTGTCATGTTGTCTGTTGTGGAAGTATTGTCTTCCCAGAATTTCTTGAGGGTAAGAACGCTCTGGAACTGTTCCTCTTTGGAGATGTTATCATAGATGTAATCTGAAATGACACAATACAATGGCACCAAGTTAATATGAACTCCTACTTTATCCATTTTAAGACAATGACTGATCTGTTGATTTCAACTCTATACTCGGCATTAGTTAAGCAATATGACGCCAATCTGTAAATAATCATGAATGGGGCATACGCTCCAATGGTTGACAGCACGAGGTCTTCGTGCTACGAAATTAATATTCGCTGACATGCATCGACTGAGTAAGCTAGCCCCACTAGACAACGTTGTTAGTGGCCCAATAAGTCACTCCGGTGTTGTTGAAGAAAATCAGGATCATCACAATTAGTTGAATAAAATGATGTTTGAAAGTGGACATCTATTTGTGGCTTTACTTGTAACACTAGAGGGCAATCATTGTCGACTATTTGCCGACTCAAGTTTCACTCAGTGTTTTGCAATACTAAAATTTGGGAGGTGGCCATCATGGCCTGCAGGCTTTAAAATCTACAGGCCCTGAATGAAATCTACAGGCCCTGAATGAAATCTACAGGCCCTGAATGAAATCTGCAGGCCCTGAATGGACATCTATTTGTGGCTTTATTTGTAACACTAGAGGGGAATCATTGTCGACTATTGTCAGTGACGCGAAACTTATTCTCAAATTATTTTTGATCACTTCAAAGCTTACTTTTAGGAATAACATGAAATTGATTAAACTTACATTAAAACGGCAACATATACAATATTTATGCCAGTTCTCTTATTTACACATGAATGTACTGTTGAGATGTATATTTTTACTGGCGTATGTTTACCTCAGATGAAAGATATTTTGTCAACATGTTTAAAAATATTTGGTGATCTCGAGTGAGTGAGTTTAGTTTTACTCCGCACTCAGAAATATTCCAGCTATATGACGGTGGTCTGTAAATAATCTAGTCTGGACCAGACAATCCAGTTATCAACAGCATGAGCATCGATATTCCAAATTGGGATACGATGACATGTGACCACCCGATTCCGTTTGTCGCCTCTTACGACAAGCATAGGCTGCTGAATACCAATTCTAAGCCGGATCTGGTGATCTGGATCCGACATAGACGTAATTGATTTAGGGCTTGGTGAGGTGCTAGAAGTGGCCGAGTCAATAATGAAGCATACGACTTTATGGAGGATGGTTCTGAGGGATAGGGATGGGGAATCAGGATATCACAAAAAGAAAACTTTTGGAAGCCATCGAAATCAGCCGCCACAAACAGGCAGGCGGAATTTGTGTGCGATGTAAATATACAAAGTCTTTGCGAAATTGTGTTTTCAAGATGAATGATACCTATAGAACAGTCTTCAGTGGGGCTGGCGTAGGCTGTAAAGATAACAGCATCCAGTTTGAGTCTCTGCTGGAAAAACAAGAAAATACATCAGTGAGTATGGAGGATAGTTGTAACACTGCTAAGAAATTGGGATTGGCATAGGCCGTAAAGACTGACTATTTCCTGTCTGCCGATGGCTGTATATAGACATCTTTGTCATTTATTTATTGCCTTTGAAATGAAATTGAATTATCACAAAAGATTGGATAAAATTGTTTTGAAAATAGCACAATCGCCAACAGCTGAAGTGATGTTGTAAATCCAGCTACGTTACATACAGGAAGCAAAGGTACCTATTTGTCTTCCGTATGGTGATCTACCTTCAGGTGAGGTGAGGTGAAATTGGGTTTAACGTCGTGCTTGAGAATATTTCGCTCATATGACGACGTGCATGCGGGTGTATGTGTATGTGCGGCTGCTTGTACTAGCCCAGACGTAAGCAGGTTGAAAAGTGCTAGCCCACTGAGATATTATGCCGCGGTGAAGCATGAATACCCCACTCAGACACATTATACTGACTCCGAGCCGACCAGTCCTTGTTGTACCCATTAATGCCGAGCGCCAGGCAGGGACCAACAACTACCTTCGGTTGTTCGCGATCTATAGCCGGGCATTTATCATACTGTCTATAGTTTCAAAATTACATGCTAGTTTATATCAGTCACATTCAAGTTGTTTGGACTGTCTGTTGTCCACAGGTGTTTATACTACTCTGAGTGGGTGTGTCAGGAATGTATAACTTGTTCTAGTCACGATACTGTTAGGATACTGCCGATGTGAGTCCTAACTCACTCACTCACCTGTAATATCGATATATGTTTGCATATATCCCTTTTTTCAGATCCATAGAAAATCAGGACTCGAGCAACACGTCCTCTGGAATCATTAACGGGTTTTGCATTCTGTAAATTGTTACTTCATAGTTCGATCTACCATGAACACAAATACACTTTCAACAATAAATAATAAGGAAAATTAAATCATCCTAGATTAAAAAGGAATAATGTGATAAAAAATAAAATAGAAATAAGACAGATATCCACTGCCTTTTCAGATACTTTTTAAAAATCACAAATAGAAATATGTTACGCATCTGATAATACATTATACGATAAATATTAAAAATATATTAGCGGAACACAAAAAAGCAAAGAAGGAAAAATGCTGACCTGATGTGTGTACATGAAAAGTATTGAATGAGTTGTGAGTTACTTTTTTTAAAAGAGGTAGACAGACAGGAGGAGCTCTCCCACAAAAACCAATTTGAGCGGAGGATGACTAATAACTTTGTTTTTATATTCCATTAATTATCTATGTGCCATAGGGTTATT